TTATCTCAAGTAATTTACTACCTGACAAAACAAAGCCCAACATGCTTTCTAGGATGGAAGTATAATTCAGACACTCCACAATGTAGAAATGTCTAGAATACAACAGCAACAATAAAACTGGGGCATCTGAGTGGCTCAGTTGGTTGAGCATCTGCCTTTGGCTCAGGTCATGATCTCAGGGTCCTGGGATCGAGCCCCGCATCGGGCTCTGTGTTCAGCAGGGAGCCTGCTTCTCCCTCTCCCTTTTCCTTGCCTCTCCTTGCATTCTCTCTCTCTCTCCCTCTCCCAAATAAATAAATATCCTTTTTTAAAAAATTACTACGCATGCCAAGAAGCAGGAAAAGATGACCTATAACCAGGAGAAAAATTAGTCAGTGAGAACCTGAATTTTCTTACAACAATTAAATAAGTTGATTCAATAGTTTAAAAATCTACTTACCAAAAACAATCAGCAGACTCAGACACTTTTTACAAGTGAGCCCTAACATACATTAAAAAAAAACCAATACGATAATTCCAATCGTATAAAAACTCTTTTTAAGAGAACAGGAAAAAGAGGGAGACAGGAGAAAAGGTTACGACTGTGGCATCAAATTAGACAAAAAAAAGATTGAGAAATGAAGATCAGAGACTGATCTCACTGATGAATATAGATATAAAAGTTCAAAACATTAGCAGGAAGGCCCAGGAGCAAATAAAAAGGATAATGCACTAGGCTTATTCCAAGAATACTGATATGATAGTATATATATTGTTTAATATAAGGACATATAGTAATATAATTCACCACATACCAGATTAAAGAGAAAAAGCCACCGAGGTCCTCAACAGGTGCTGAAAAAGCATTTAATAATTTTCAAAATGTGTTTATGACAAAACTCCTAGTAATATGAGAAATATAAGAAATCTTCTTTAATTTCATAATAGCCGCCTACTAAAAACCTACCCAAATATCACACTTTTGACCGTAAAATATTAGGAACATTTCCTTTAAATTCAGAAACAGGTTTAGGTTGCCTGTCACCACTTCACATTGGAGTGGTGGTGCTAGCCAGAGTGATAAGGCAGGAAAAAGAAACAACTATGACAAAATATGGATTGGAAATGAAGAAACCCAAAATGTCATCATTTGCAGACCATCTGCTTATCTACACAGAAATCAAGAGCATCCACAGACAAATTATTTGAATTAGTGGGAAGGTACCACAAAGTTGGAATACACTAGAGATAAATAGTTAAAATATATATATTTTTACAGTATATTTAAAAAAATAATCCAAAGAGGTGCCTGGGTGGCTCAGATGGTTAAGCATCTGCCTTCAGCCCCGACGAGGCTCCCTGCTCAGTGAGGAGTCTGCTTCTTTCTCTCCCCCTGCCTCTCCCCCACCAATCATGTGCACTCCCTCTCTCTCCCCCAAATGAATAAAATTCTTTAAATAAATAAATAAAAATAAAAAATAATCCAAAGTATGTAGTAATCTTTATAGTAATAAATGTCACAAAAGATGCATATAACTTTTATTAGGAAATTTTTAGCCTTCACAAAAATATTATAGAAAACCTAAATAAATGAACTGTAACCTATTCATGGAAAAATTTCAACATCTTAAAAATGTTTATTTTCACTCAAATGAGTCAAAAATTCAATGTAATTTGAAGTGAAATCTCAACCAGATTTTTTGTGAAAGTGGACAAATGGCTGCTAAAAATTTTTTTGGAAGAGATGCTATGAATACCAGTGACCCACTTAAAGAAGCACAGGAGGGTAGAAGACAACATGTCCTCCTGGAATCAAGAGAATTATCATATGATCTCACTCATTTGTGGAATTTAAGAAACAAAACAGAGGATCATAGGGAGAGAGAGGAAAAAATAAAACACGACGAAATCAGAGAGGGAGACAAACCCTAAGAGACCCTGAATCCTCAGGAAATGAACTGAGGATCACTGGAAGGGAGGTGGGGGGGTGGGACAGGGTCACTGGGTGGGGGGGGACAGGGTCACTGGAGGGAAAGTGGGGGGGAAAGGGTCACTGGGCATTAGGAGCACACATGATGGGATGAGCACTGGGTGTGATATAAGACCAATGAATCACTGACCTCTGCCTCTGAAGCCAATAATGCATTATCATATGTTAATTCTTTGCATTTAAATAAAAAAAAATTTTTAAAAGACTTAATGTAAAAAATAAAATAAAAAAATAAAAGACTTAATGTAAAGTTTTGTAATTAAGACGGGGTGCCCGGGACAAGGTAAGTCACCACCAGTGTAACAGGGACCCAGAAACAGACTTGCACAAACACAGCCCTTCTGAGAGAGGACAAGGGGGAGTTTGCAGGTCAGTGGGAAGGAGAAGGAACACTGAGGTTGTGTTGGTGAGAAAACTGGTTATGGACTGAATGTCTGGTCCCCACATTCCTAACCCAACCCCCCAACGGGCTGGGATTAGGAAGGGGGGGCAGTGGGACATGGTTAGGCTTAGATGATCTCATGAGGGTGGGCCTGCACGAATCGCATTCGTGCCCTTACAAAGATCCCAAGAGACCTTGCTTCCTCTCTACGATGAGGAGTGGGCCACCTGCAACCTAGAAGTGGGCTCTCTCCAGAACCTGGCCCTGCCGGCACCCCGATCCTGGACTTCCAGCCTCAGAACTGTGAGAAACCAGTGTCTGTTGTTTACAAGCCCCCAGTCCGTGCTATTCTGCTACAGCAGACCAGACAAAGACAACTGGCTAGCCACGTGGAAAAATACAGAATTAGATTCCTTTCTGTACCAAACCAAATGCCGTGCAGACTCAAGACCCAAACGTGAACCTCAGATTTGGAAGAAAATGAAGAAAAGTGGTACCTCCATGTTCTCCTTCGAGGATTCAGGCCCCAGAAGGCACCAAAAGGGAAGGCCAGACATCAAGACACCGCTAGTGGGTGAAGAGAAGCTCACCCACCTGGAGATCTTTGCAGCACATCTGCTGACAAAGGTTCCCGAGCAGGACACATGAAGAACACACATAAATCAAACAAAAAGAACGCAAAAAAAAATGGCAAAAAAGTATAAACAGGCAATTTATACAAGACAGTCAACCACAATGGTAATCAAGAAAGTGCGGCTCAAAACCATGTCCATTAGGGGCGCCTGGGTGGCTCAATCAGTTAGGCGTCTGACTTTGGCTCAGGTCATCTCAGGGTCCTGGGATCAGGCCACAGGTCAGGCTCTGCGCTCAGCAGGGACGCTGCTTGTCCCTCTCCCTCTGCCTCTCCCCTGCTTGTGTGCAAGGGCTCATTCTCTCCCTCTCTCTGTCTCTCTCTCTCTCAAATAAATAGATAAAATCCATTAAAAAACCCATATCCAGAGATGCCTGGGGGGCTCAGTGGTTAAGCATCTGCCTTTGGCTCAGGGCATGACCCCGGGGTCCCGGGATCAAGTCCCGCATCGGGCTCCCCGCAGGGAGCTGCTTCTCCCTCTGCCTGTGTCTCTGCCTCTCTCTGTGTCTCTCGTGAATAAATAAAAACCTTAAAAAAAAAAACCCATATTCATCAGATCACAACATGAAAATACGTGGCAACAGGGAATGTCGTAAGGATAGAGCAGCGGGAACAGCACGGTCCACTTGGGAGCAGCTCACTAGCACGGGCGCCGTGGAAACAATCCGGAGCTGCCCAGAAAAGCTGCAGACTCTGAGACCACCAGGGGTTCAACCAGACCCACCCGGGATCACGGGAGAAACGTCCCCAGACACTGCAGTACCTGCCGCAGAAAAGAGAAAGGGCAGGGAGGTGGGAGGAGATGGAGAGCCGACTGTCCGCTGTCCGGAGAGGGACAACTGTGGCCTAGTCACACGGTGGCTGTCCCGAAGTGGCAGCGAGCGAGGCAGAGCCACAGCCCCTGGGAATCTGACGACAGCAAAGGTCACTTGGACCGTCCAGCAAGAAGCAGGCGGATGCATGCGGGGGCTGCGGGCCACACAGGGCCTCACGCTCACGAGGGAGCTGCCCGGAGCCTCGGGGTCAGGGATGGCATCCTGAGCACGCTGGACGCCGGAGTCCGGGTGGCGGGCGCCTCCGGGTCAGCTCAGGGCTCTGAGGCGCTGGAGGTCTGCGGCCCTGATGTGTGCCCCCACCAAGCCTGGGAGGTGGGGTCACGACACAGCCTGTCCTCCCCCTGTGAGGGTTAGGGGAGCGGTCGCCCTAAGCGCCAGTGTCCCGGGTACATGTTGGAAAACGCTTTATCTCTGAAACAAGGCCGTTTGGGGAGGCCTTTTATACTCTGGATGCTTTTCCGAGGGTCCTGTCACACGATAGCATTTTTCAAAGATCTGACTTATTTCAAGAAGTCTTGCCATGAAGGAGAGCAAGCATCAGAGTGACCTGGCAGGGGAGGGAGCCAGGCCTGCCTGTGGCAGAGGGCGCAGGGGTCACTGGCTGGGGCTCGCTGCGTCGGCCACACCGGCCACTCCGCGTGCTGGGGAGCGGCAGGAGGGCCAGGCCCCTCCACAGAGCTGGGGGAGAAGCCTGAGGACACGGGAGAGTGGGACGTGGTCCTTCGGGGGCGGAGTCTCGGGCCGCAGGTGCCGCCGAGGCTACCACCGCCGGGCAGGGCCTGGCGAGGCCCGATGGCCAGCCGCTCGCAGCCTCGAGGCCAGGCGAGGAGGAGGACAGAGGCAGGGAGGCCGCCGGGCCCGAGGAGCGCCTGCGGAGCTGCCCGGGAGGCCCTGAGCCGGAGGCCTGCCCTGCCGACCCTCCGCGGGCGCCGTGCCCGGGCCGCGTCCCCCACAGGGGCAGAGGATGAGGGGCCGGGCGCCAGGGCCGTGCGCGGCGAGGACGTGACCGGTGGGAAGGACCACGGAGCCACAGGCCGGGCCCGGTCACTCGGGGAAGACGGGCTGCGGCCCCGCGAGGGCCCAGCAGTGCAGACACGGGTGGGCCCAGCCCTCAGGGACCGCGGGCGCCTGGAGTAGCTCCCACGTCGCGGAGCCCGGAGTGTGGGTGGGGAGGACGAGCCCATGGACAGACGGAGGGGAGGGCGGCCTGCGACGGGCCGAGCCCAGCCCCAGGGCCACCCCTGCCCCATGGGCGCCGCGGCCCCGACGGTGGCCTTCCCCGAAGTCTGAGGAAACCCAGCCCGTCTTTCCTAGTGTCAGACACACAGGATCAGAGTCCGAGCTGGCCGCGCCAGGGCCCCTCAGAAGGTGGGAGGCCCGTGGGTGGAGGACGGTGGGAGGGCGGCGGGAGGACAGCGGGGGGACGGCGGGGGGACGGCCAGGCGCTGCCAGGGTCCACAGCGCGACGGGAGTCACCTCATTGTGCAAGGCGGGGCCGAGGTGTCCCCAGGGCCTCAGGCCCGAGTGACCTTCCTGGAGGGCAGGGGCAGCAGACGCCAGAGGAGGCCCCCACAACCGCAGGAAGCTTGGGGTGTCTGGACTCGGGGGCTCACAGAGCCAGTGGGGCGCAGTGGCAGGACGTGAGGCTGGGGAGGTCACGGGGTCAGTCTGTCCGCAGAACGGCCGCGAGGAGCAGTGGGGCCTGCACCCCGTGCCACTCCACAGAGCGGTGGCTGCCAACACCCCCAGGCGAGCAGCAGAAGCTTCCTCTCCACAGCCTGGCAGGAGTGAGTGCTTCAGTACGGGCGCTGGCACCCCGCATGCTGCCGAGGGGGACGGGACCTCGCACGCCCAGCTCCCAGACCGGAAGCCAGGCCTGCCTGCCGATGGACACCCGCACCCCCGACCCCGGGCTCCAGTCGGAATCCGGCAGCAGCGGCTCTACTGCCCCGTGGGCCTCCCCAACGTGAACAGGCCCCAAGGCCTTCCACACACACCAGAAGAGGATAAAGCTGCTTCGACGCTCAAGACCAGACTAAACCAGGAGGAAGCAAAAACAAGCGAACAAGCAAAAAAACCTCCACGAGTAGACTCAGAATGTTTCGAGAAGGCAATACATCCCTGAAACAAGAACAGGATGCTGTGAAATGGGAACCGTTAGAGACGAGGAAGAAGGAGCTCTCAGACGTGGAAACACAAGTGCTGAAATACACGATCCCAAAAGGAACTCGAAAATGAAGCCCCAAGCCACCCAGAAAATAGGACACAACACAGGAGAGAAAGAAACAAGAACAAGGCAAGACGACCAACGCAGCAAGTCTGGGAAGGAAACAGAAAAGCAAAAGGGGGGGGACGTCGCTCATAAGCAGGTGGATGCAGCAGGTCGTGATGCTGGTGCTTTGTGCTCAGAGGGGAGTGTTCATGGGGACGGGGAGCCGCCGGGACACCCCACAGCCGGCACGAGGACAGAGCAGACACAACCACAGCAAGGGCTCGTCACCCTTCTCAGGAAGTCACACAAGACAGGAGCCAAGGAAGGAGCAGCTCCGGGTTCGAGACACAGAGTCCCCAGGCAGGGGATGGGGGAGCGGCGGGCAGGCGGGAGGGAGGTGGGCCCGACGAGTCGCCAGGAAGGACGGGACGCGGCAGAAAAGAGAGTATGGTTGAGAGCCGGGGAAATGGAAGGCTACTGAGGAACGTCCTGCCTGAGTGTCCTCCTCCCGTCTGGGCCCGGCGACCGTACCTCTGCTCACCCCGCACCCGCCGGGCACCGGGGACCCACGGCCATGCTGTGGCCCCGGCCTCAGAGGCAGGTGAAGAACGGGGACCAGATGATACAGAGCAGCCGAGTCCCCCCGCCGCCCCAGCCCCACGACGGCCCCCAGAAGCCGGGTCCCCATGACCCATAGGCCTCGGGCACCGACGCCCTGCCCTGCCCCTCACCATCCTGGCCGAGCTGATGGCAGGTGGGGAAGGAAACTGAGCTCTACTTGCAGGGCCAAGACAGGAGAGCAGGGACGGGACTCCTGACACCCCTGAAGGCACTCCTGGGCACCAAGGGAGGGGGGTCGCAGGAGCAGCTGGGCCGCCCCCTTCCCTTCCCTAGCACTGCATTCCAGGAGCCGTGCAAGAGGTCCAGAGCGAGGGGGCATCTGCCTCAGAACCGCTGAGCCCTAACTGGGAGACAGGAAGACAGGGCCTGCATCCTGCCAGCGTGGCTGCTTCTCCGCCCCACGGGAAATGGTCCGCGGGAAACGGCCCACTTGCACCACAGCAACTGGCTCAACAAGAAAATAGCATTTACTGGGCACCCACGGCGTGCTGACTAGGGTGGGTGGGGATGAGGATCAGGGTGGGGGTCTGAGGGGGCAGGTAGGGGTGGTGGGTGGGGCGGTGAGGGTAGAGGATTGGGTAGGGGAGATGGAAGAGTGAGGGTGAGGAAGTGGGGGTGGGGGGATGTGGGGTAGAGGAGTAAGGTAGGGAGCAGCTGCAAGGTAGGGTGGGGAGAGGTCAGGGCTGGAGAGGTGACAAGGTGAGGAGTGGAAATGGGGGTAGAGGTGTGGGTGGGGGGCAGGATGAGGATGGGTAGGGGGTGGGGTGGGGGAGAGACGTTGGGGAATAGTAGGGTGTAGGTAGGTGGGTAGAGGAGGGGGCAGGGGGCAAGTTGGGGGTGGCTGAGGATGGGTAGAGGGGTGGGTGGGGGAGAGAGGCTGGGGAATAGTAGGGTGTAGGTAGGTGGGTAGAGGAGGGGGTGGGGGGCAGGTTGGGGGGGCTGAGGATGGGTAGAGGGGTGGGTGGGGGAGAAAGGCTGGGGAGTAGTAGGGTGTAGGTAGGTGGGTAGAGGAGGGGGCAGGGGGCAGGTTGGGGGTGGCTGAGGATGGGTAGAGGAGTGGGGTCGGGGAGAGAGGTTAGGGAGTAGTAGGGTGTAGGTAGGTGGGTAGAGGAGGGGGTGGGGGGCAGGTTGGGGGTGGCTGAGGATGGGTAGAGGGGTGGGTGGGGGAGAAAGGCTGGGGAGTAGTAGGGTGTAGGTAGGTGGCTAGAGGAGGGGGCGGGGGGCAGGTTGGGGGTGGCTGAGGATGGGTAGAGGAGTGGGGTGGGGAGAGAGGTTAGGGAGTAGTAGGGTGTAGGTAGGTGGGTAGAGGAGGGGGCGGGGGGCAGGTTGGGGGTGGCTGAGGATGGGGAGAGGGGTGGGTGGGGGAGTGAGGTGGGGTAAGGAGCAGGGTGGGGGTGGGTGGTGGCAGAGAGGTGGGCAGAAAGCACAAAGGCTACCCCTCTCTGGGGTCTAGGGAGCCTTCGCCTCCAGGGCTGAGATGCGGGGCACCACCTGCTGGCTGGGGTCTTGTGGGCGCCCCAGGAGGCCTCCCAAGTCTGCACCCGGTAATGTTCACTTCCTTCCCCGACCCACCACCTACAGTGGGGGCTTGCAGCAGGCTTCAAGGTGGTGGCGTCTGAGGGGGTCCCGGGACTGCCTGTGGAGGTTGGGCGGAATGTTCCAGAGAGTGAGGGCCGCGTGTGTGTGAGAGAGGCACCGCGTGAGTGTGTGAGTACGTGAAACCACGAGGGTATGTGGGGAGGGCTGTGGGGGGGAGATTCTACGAGTGTGGGGGTGTGAGGCTGCTTGCGGAGCCGTGTGTACGTGTGAGAGGGTGAGGCTGGGGGTGCGTGTGAGGGGGCGTGAGTGCACAGTGTGAATGTGCAGACGAGTGTGTGAGCCTGGGAGTGTAAGCGGGTACGAGTGCGCGTGTGACTGTAGGAGGCGGGAGGCCTGGCAGGGGGTTGGGGTGTCCTGGCTAGCCCCCGGCCCGGGAGCCCAAGACCTAGCAGTGGGGCGCTTCCCCCCTCGCTTCCAGGGCAGGGAGGGCGGGGCCTGCAGGCCGGGATTAGGGGATTAAGTCCAGTCGGGTCCTCGGGTCCAGGTCAATCCCCATCCACCCCAGGGAGGCCTCCGGCTCCTGAGGGGCTCACGTTAGGGAAGCAGGGGGGAAGCTGGCCGGGGGTGGGGGCATGGCCACAGAGGCCCTCGGAAGGGCTGCGGAGGGGCGGGGGGCTCCGGGGAGGCTCGGGCTCAGTAGGGCCTGCACCCCTCCGGCGCCCCACACAGAGTCAGAGGCCTGGGGCTGGGGCGCCCAGAGCCGGGTCCGGATCACACGCCCACAAGCCCGCCCCTTGCCCTGCCTGCTGCCCCGGCCCTGCTGTGGGGGGCCCCTCGGCTCATGGGCAGGCCCGCCCGGGCACCCCGGCCAAGCTGCAGGGGTGGGGCGGGGTGTGGTCCAGCCCCAAGCGAGCATCTGAGCCCTGAGATGCTCGGGCGGGATGGGGCGGCGGTGACCGCGGGTGGGGACCCAGGCCTCTGGGAGCCCTCGGGACTGGGCGGGGGGCAGCCAGGCGCTGAGTGGCCCCGCCCGCCCCCTCCACCCCGGGGCGTCTGCTCCGCCGCCCCCCACTCTTAGAAGTATGGGGTCTCTGGCAAGAAGGGCGGCGTCCTGATTCCCAAGGGCCGGGCGTGGACCCCGAAGCTGGCAGGGCCCCCAGCACCCCCTCCCCCGGCCACACCCAGCTCTCCCCCGGCCTGTGCACGCTGAGCGGCCTCCGGGCCCAGCCACGCTGCCCCCATCTCTGTCCCCCACTCCCCGGCCCCCTTCCCACCTCACCCCCACAGGGCCCACAGGGGACTCCCTTGCTCTGCTTCACGGGACTCGGCGGCCCCGGGTCCGCGGCGGCGGCACCAGGGAGACCCGGAGGGGGACAGGCGGGGTGAGGCGGGGGCTGCGGGTCGGGCGGAGGGGACGGGCGGGGGGGGGCGTCCTGGGCTGGGGCCCGCACCCCGCGGAGGCGCCGCCTGCAGGGAGGTCCTGGCGCCCTCTGCGGACCCGCCCGCCCCGCGCTCCTCGGTGTCCGCCGCAGCCCCGCCCGGCAGCACCCCTCGCCCCGGCCGCGGCCGCCGCACCTGCTGCGCACCTGTCCCCGGGGGCGCGCGGCCAACCACACCTGCAAGATGGCCGCCGCAGGTGCAGCCCCGGACCCCCGGACCCCCGGACCCCCGGACCCAGGCTGGGGCGGCGGCTGCGCGGGGCTGTGCGCGCCCGTCCCGGCGGCCTCGCACCCGCAGCGCAGCGCCCGGCCCGGCCTCCAGCCTCCAGCCTCCAGCCTCCAGCCTGCAGCGCCGCCCGTCGGGGAGGGTCCGGGCTGCGGGAGCGCGGGCGCGCCTCGGGCCCGCGCCCGGCAGGCCCCATGACTTGGCATTACCCGCGCCCTCCCCGCGCCCTCCCCGCGCCCTCCCCGCCCCCGCCCGCGCCCGCCCCGCAGACCCCCTCCGCCGCCCCTCGGGGGACCCGCGAGCCGCAGCCTCCAGGGCCGCACCGGGAACGGGCGCTGGCTGCGTAGACGCGGGCCGGGCCGCTGACAGCCCGCCCCGAGCCCGCGCCCGGGGACGCGGGGGGACGCTGCAGGGCCGTCCCCGCGGTGCGCACCTCGCCCGCCTCGCGCCGCAGCCCCCGCGCGCCCCGCCCGCCCCTCCCCCTCCCGCTCCCCCGGGGCTCGGGCCGCTGCCCCCGCCCCAGCCCGCCCCCGGCCCCGGGAAGGGCCGCAGCGCGGAAGCCAGGGAGGGGGCCCCGGAGAGGGCCCCGGCGGCGCGCGTCCTCCCGGCGGCGACCCTTGGAGCGGGCGCCGCAGCGACGCGGCCCTTCCCGGGGGCCCCGCGGGGCCGGGGACGGAGGGGACGCCCCTGAATTCGCCCCATTGTTCTCCTCGGGGACGGGGGAGGAAAGAGGGAGGACGCGGGGTGGAAAGGGGCCGCGCCTCGGCGGCGACAAGGACGCGCTCGGGCCGGGAGCTCCGCACGGGGGCCGCGGCCGAGCCGCTGCGGGTGCGGGTGCGGGTGCGGGCGCGGGGGCAGGTGCGGGCGCAGGTGCGGGCGCGGGGGCAGGTGCGGGCGCAGGTGCGGGCGCGGGCGGGCGGGCGCCTTACCTCTCCGGCGTCACTGGCGGCGGCCCCGCATGGGCACCGGCAGGGGCGCGGGTCCCCGAGCGCGGAGCTGCGGCGGCGGCGGCGGCGGCGGCTCCGGGGCTCGCTGGGCGCTGTGACGGCGGCGCCGCGTGACGGGCTGCGCGCCCCCGGCCCGGCCCGCCCCGCGCCCCTCCCGCCGCGCTGGTTGGCTGCGCGCGGCGCCCGAGCCCCAGCCGCCAGCTGGTTCGTCGCGCGGGAGAGGGACGGGCGTGCGGCCGCGTCGGGGAGGGGGCGGGGGCGGGGGCCGGGGCTGGGCCGTGACATCACCGCCGACACCGCGCCCGGCGAGCCGGGGAGCGGGGGGCCCGGGAGCCGACCTCGGCGCGCACGCGGGCCCGTCCACGCGCGCAGCCCGCGCGCCCTTGGGGGGGGCCGGGCCCCCGCGCACCCGCACCCGCCCCCGCACCCGCACCCGCGGGGACCCCGCGCCGGCCTCGGCCTCCCCCTCCGGCCCCTCTGGCGGGGACACCGCCACCTGCCCCCGCCCCCGCACACAAACACCCGGGAGGCCCGCGGCACCAGCGCCCGGGCGCAGCGGCGGGGCGGAGGGGCGGGGGGGGCCCCGACCTGGTGTAACAGGTGAATTTTCAACCGCGCGCGGGAGTCTGGGCCCGAGCGCTAGAGGGACCCGAGCATCCCCAGCTCCTCCCGCAGGGATGATGCAACCCGCGCGGCCTCCGTCCGCCTCTGCTCCCGGCACGCCCTGGGTGGAGACCCCCCCGCGCCCCCGGCTGCCCCGGGTCGTGGCCGGCCTGCAGCCTGTGTCCCCCGAGACACGCCGCCCCCGGCCCACGCGGGCAAACCCGCCTTCGTCGACCTCCGCAGAGGCTGTCCGGGCCCCCGGGGCCGACTGGCATCTCCGTTGCCAATGGGCTCCCTCCGCCCCAGGGGACGTCGAGGGAGCCCCCGGCCAGCTCACCCACCCGAACTGCGGTGGGTGCAGTGACGTCATGCCACCGAGAAAGCGGGGCGCCCCGGTCCCTTTCCAGCCCAGCCCCTGTCCGCTGCGCGCTCTCGCGGCTCCGCGGCTCCGCCTCCCCCAGCGCCCAGCAGGTGCCAGGTGCTGCCCCTTGGGCCTTATTTAGTCATTGGCCTAATCCTCACAGGACGAGGGAGGGAGGGGGCTTCACCTCCATGTGCAGCATCCCTGGGGCATGTGCCCCCAAAACAACCAGGGCGCAGACACACATGCACCCTGCACAGGACACACCCTCCCACCCTTGTCCCCCAAGCCCTCCCACCCCCACCCCCACCCCCACCCCCGGCCCCGGCCCCGCCGGACAATTTCCCTTTTTCTATTTCCAGCAACCACCTGCGTAAAAGAGAAATTATTGCTTTTCCAAACTTTGGGTAGAAACAATAAAACTAGGGCGGGGGGGGGGGCTTCATCATTTCCATTTTCATCGTATTTATTGATCTAGTCGACTTCTCTAGTTCTTGAGCCAGATTTTACATGTTTCTAGGAATCCATGTCATCCAGCTTTCAAAATCACCAGCGTGTATTCGTTTCCTTATCAATCACGTCTCTAGTTATTGCTCCTTTTTATTCTGTGCTTTGTTTATCTGCATTTTTCTCTGTTTTAATATTTTTTAGATATTTCCAAAGGACCAACTTGTAGTTTTGTTCGTCTTCTCATCTTTCCCTCTATTTCCCTTATCCCTGCACTTGTCTATTATTTCCTTCCTTCCCGATTCTTGGAATCTGATAGGCCACTCCGCTTTGAGCTAAGTGCTTAGGCTCATTTATTTTTGAACTATTTAATTTTCTGGTGGATATATTTAAACTGCAAAATTCCCTCTCCAGCACCGCCTTACTGGGCCTCACAAATTGGGACAGACGATGTTTTCATTATCATTCAGATCTAAATATTTCTTATCGTCCCTGATGATCTCCTTTTAACCTCATAGGTCACAAACCCCTGCCTTCCTTCATAACGTTATTTACTCTCCAATAGTGTTTCCTGCTGGCTTGCTTGCCTGCTTCAGTATTTTTCTTTATTATCACTTTTTGTTACCACTTTCCAATTTAATTGCATTATTGTCTGAGAACAAAGTCTGCGTTGAGTCAGGATCCTGGCAGGAAGTGGATGGCACACTCCAACCGGGTAATTCGAGGAGTGTTTGATAAAGAGGCTGTTTACAAACGTGTAGGTAGGAGCCGGGAAACCACAGGACCGAGGGACACTGCGCTGACATTGTCGCCTGATGCAGGGAGGTGGGGGGGAGAGGGAGCGGCCGCGGGTAGGGGCAGAGGCCTCAGCGAGGGTGCAACCAGCCCCAGCACCCACCGGAGGGATCAGACCTCAGGCTCCCGCCTCTCTGGATCTGGGAGTGCTCCCTCTGGCTGGGCCCAAGAGGCAGCTGGGTGGAGGGTCACCCACTGACAGGTCCATTTAGGGTGCTCTCTTAACACATGGGGTAAAGGGGACCTGGAAGTACATACCCAACATAGCAGCCCAGAGGGCAGGGAATTCGCCTCAGAAATTTATTAAGGCTTCTTTAGGTCCTAACACATGGTCTCTTTCTGTGAATACTCCACATGTGCTCAAAGAGGCTGCGTTTCTCTGCCGGACGGGTATAGAGTTCTGTATACATTTAATAGTTCAAGATTATTAATTACGTTGATCCGGATTTGGAGATTTCTGCTAGGCTTTTGTCCACTTGAGCTATTAAATTATTACTTTTAAAATTAAAATCTCCTGTTACAATTGTTGAAATCTGGCAGATGCTGCATGACGGGCATTAAGGCATATTCTTAGGTATTCAATAATTCTGATGGCTGTGCATTATCATTCCGTGGCCCATTTCACCAGTATGCATGGGATGTCCTCTCTTCTTGTTTTTGTTTTTGGTTTTTGGTTTTTTTTTTTTTTTTTGTATTAAATCTGAGAGTCACATATTAAGATGTCAATCCAGTTTTCTATAGTTCATATTTGCCTGGTATGTCTTTTGCCAACTTTTTATTCTAAACTTTCCATATTTTTCTAAGTGTTTCTCTTTTAAGCTACCCATTGTTAGAATTTTTAAATCTAATCAGTTTGTGCCTCTTTTTTGGTTTCCTCCTTTTTTGTTTTTTAAGATTTTATTTATTTATTCATGAGAAACAGAGAGACAGAGAGGCAGAGACACAGGCAGAGGGAGAAGCAGGCTCCATGCAGGGAGCCCGATCTGGGACTCGATCCCAGGTCTCTAGGATCAGGCCCTGGGCTGAAGGCAGGTGCTCAACTGCTGAGCCACCCAGGCTGCCCGGTTTCTTCCTTTTAATTGGAATTTAATCCACTTACATTTATAGTAATTACTGTTATATTGAGACTGAGTTTTGCCATCATATTCAAAATTTTATTTACTGTATTTACTTTTTTCTATTTCGCACTGAGTATAGTGAATCTTCTTCTGGTAGTTAATCCTCATTCATATTTTTATTCTTATGGCAATTGCCCTGAATTTAATACTGTTTTCACGTAACCTATGTACCCTCTGTAATTATGCATCCTCCCTAACATTCGAGTTCTCCAGCCTGGCTACGTATTCTTTACTCCCAGCCACTGATATTGTCTAGGATTATAGTTCTGAGTTATTGTTGATATACTTTTTCTTTTCTTTGGTCCTTGTTTTTGTTTAAAATTATTAATACTCATTCCAAGGACCTTGATCATCCTTGTTTTCCATACTTCTTGAAGCTGCGCCTGGATTTCTGTTGTTTATGAAATACAAAGAATTTTTAATGTGGATTTTGGGGTGAAAAACATTCTGAGCCCTTCGATTCCTGAGATTACTTTTACTGTATTTTCCACTTGGCTGGATATAAAATCCTAGATGCAATGTTTGTTTCTTTCAATTTAAAAAAAAAAAAAAAACACTTCACGGTCTTGTATGCTGTTGAGAACTCCCATGTCCACTGGGATCTCGTTCCATGTTCTTTCTTTAAAGATGCTTCTAGAACTTTCTAAAGGGGTGAATTTTCCTGTGAGCCTTACATTCTGAGGTTGTTTATTTCTTTTCATTCTGGAAAATTAACCTCCATTGCTTTTCAAATATTTTCTCCTCTCAGTCTTAAGATTTTTCTGACTTTGGGATGCCTAGCAGCTGCACGCTGGTTCCTCTATCCTCTGCGACCCTTTCTGGTTGAGTACTCCCTGACTCCCCATTCCCATGATGAGGATGAAATTCAGCCCCTCCCCCCAGCAAGGAGACTGGGCCAACAACCAGATCCTTCACGTTGTAGCCCTGCACCTGCACACTATTTTCTTCCAACCCACACTCTGATTCCTGTGGGCTTCGCTCTCCATCGGCTGTGCGACTCCCGGCAAGTTCATTCACTCCCTATGTCTGTCGCAGGTCCTCAGGCGAGATAGGCGTACGGACCTCACAGGTGACATGCAGAGAGCAGGGCCGGGCGCGCGCTGAGCCCTGTGTGAACCGTGTGCCACATGGAGGAACCACAAGAGGACTCCCGTGACAACGAGCGATGTGCACAGTCACCTCCGTTCCATGCAGAAGTAATGACAAATGAGAGAAAGAAAGGTAAAGATATTGGAAAGGAGGAAACAAAATGATCATTGTTTGCAGATAAGGTCATTGTCTACCTAGGAAACCTGGGGGATGAGTGAAGAGCCACAGGAAGCAGTGGGTTAAGGGTGCGCAGGAAGCACCATCACTGAGAGGACAGCAGTTTCTGTAAAGCAGAGGGAACAGTTGGAGCCTATAATGCAGGAGTCTGAGCACAATAGCACTAAGAAACATAAAACACCCAGAAACAATAAGAAATGTGCAAATTTCTCATGTGTAAAGAAATTCTATAGACAAACTAAAAATCCACTGAAAAAAGGTAAGTTAATACAAAGGCAATATTGTAAAAAGTACAGTTTTCCCTAAATTAAAAGTACACATTTGATGTAGTCTTAATTAAAATAGCAGTAAAAGTTCACATCGAAAAACAAACATGTGGGGATCCTTGGGTGACTCAGTGGTTGAGCGCCTGCCCTCAGCCCAGGGCGTGACCCCGGGGTCCCGGGATCGAGTCCCACGTCGGGCTCCTGCATGAGCCTGCTTCTCCCTCTGTCTGTGTCTCTGCCTCTCTCTCTCTCTGTGTCTCTCATGAATAAATAAATAAAATCTTAAAAAAAAAAACGAAAGAAAAACAAACACGTAAGACTTAATCAGGAAATTTGTTTAAAAGGAGACGGATGGGGAGGTCTGCGCTATTAGACGTTAAAACATGTTATGAAATTCTAAAATTCTAAGTCTTGAAAGAAATAGATCCAACGTTTATGGTATCATTTCAAATAATTTGGGGAAAATACATGACTTCGTAACTGGCATAGGCCACTGTGGGAGATCCATAGAGTTGGCTACCACTAGACACATTATCAAGAGAAATTTCTGATGGAGTTAACATTTAATTGTAAAAAACGAATAAAAAAAAAGAAAGAAAGAAACTTTAGGGAAGTAGAATGAAGTGTGATTGGACATAGTATCTTGGGGGGGGGGGGAATCAGGACATGCAGCCTGAAAGCACCAAAGAAGCCCGATAGGCCATATGAAAACTAAACATCTTTGTGGCCTCAACATTATAAATGAAATTGAAAGACTCCATGCTAAAACATATTTCAGAACATATGAAGATGAAGGGAATTTCCTAAAACTAAAAAAGCCTTTGTGAACTAATAGCAAAAAATACAAGTGACCACCAGAGAAGTGGCCAGATACTATGTAGGGACACTTTACAGAAGGACCAATAAGCAAAGGTCATCACAGTTAAAAGAATGCAGAGTGAAATAGTGAGGGTTGTTTTTGTTTGTTTGTTTGTTTGTTTTTTGACTTATCAGATTGTCAAAAACGTGAGTGTGTGGTGATATCCAGTGAGACGGGGCTGTGGGGAAAGGATGTGGCAATGGCCAGGACAAGAAGCACTCCTTTTCTGCAGGGCGGTTTGTCAAAATGTTTCCACACTTAAAGTGCTTCTATCGTTTGTTTTTGTTGTTTGTTTGTTTGTTTAAAGACTTATTTATTCATGAGACACACAGAGAGAGAGAGAGAGAGAGAGAGAGAGAGAGAGAGAGAGAGAGGCAGAGACACAGGCAGAGGGAGAAGCAGGCTCCATGCAGGGAGCCCAACGTGGGACTTGATCCCAAGACCCCAGGATTACGCCCTGAGCTGAAGGCAGGTGTTAAACCTGCTGAGCCACCCAGGGATCCCCACTTCTATTGTCTTTAATGCGGGGCCCAAGTTCACCCCCCGAGACCAAGACTTGCGTGCTCTACCAACTGAGGCAGCCACGTGCCCTCAGAGTGCTCCCGTCCTTGATCCAGGAAGCCTGCTGGCTACCCGTTTGCTTGTGGTTTCTACACACAAAACTTTGGCCCAAACCTGGAGATCATCCAGGTGTTCCCCCATGAGCACTGGTTGGATGAACCGGGGGTATATACGGGAGAGATTTCCCTTTTCTTTTTAAGGTTTTATTTACTCATTTGACAGAGAGAGCACAAGTAAGCAAAGCGGCAGGCAGAGGGAGAAGGAGAAGCAGGATCCCAGCTGAGCTGAGAGCCAGGATCGGGACTCATCCCAGGACCCCGGATCGTGACCTGAGCTGAAGGCAGACGCTTCACTGACTGAGCCACCCAGGCGTCCCCAGGGGGGATTTTTCTGAAGCTGCTAAAATCAATGAGTCTCAAAAGTTATGTGCTGATGTGCAAAGATCACCAGGATGTTTGTTAAATTATTTAAAAGAGGCACAGAAGAGTGTGCATAATAGCTACCCCTGCCTTTGTTTTCCTGAAAGGAAGCACAAAATAAATGGACACCATGTTTGCCAAGACTGGGGATGCCTTCACTATTAAAAAATACATATATAGTCTTTCTTTATGTACAGTTTCAATTTTCTAATCCTATATAGGTATATGTTTTTGTTTCAATGTCTCTGAGAGCAGAAATTAAGACTCTTTTTTTTTTTTATGATAGTCACACACAGAGAGAGAGAGGCAGAGACACAGGCAGAGGGAGAAGCAGGCTCCATGCACCGGGAGCCCGACGTGGGACTCGATCCCGGGTCTCCAGGATCACGCCCTGGGCCAAAGGCAGGCGCCAAACCACTGTGCCACCCAGGGATCCCAATTAAGACCCATTTTCATTTTTATGCTTTCTTTTTGTACCATTCTGAATTTACAATATGGTAAATACTACATTAAAAATTTAAAAATTTTGGGCAGCCCGGGTGGCTCAGTGGTTTAACGCCTCCTTGGGCCCGGGGTGCAACCCTGGAGACCTTGGGTCGAGTCCCACATCGGGCTCCCTGCATGGAGCCTGCTTATCCCTCTGCCTGTGTCTCTGCCTCTCTCTCTGTGTCTCTCATGAATAAATAAATAAAATCTTTGAAAAAATTTTTTGATAAAAATTAAAAAAATTTTAAATCCTATCAGAGGTGTAGACTTTTGTATGGCTAAACAATCTGGAAAGAGCCCCCCACCACCCCTAGCCACTCCAAATGTTAGGTTAAGTCATGAAATTGCTAACGTTTAACTATTTTTGACCTACCAAAAAATGGTAATTTCAAATGGTTTAACTTAATAAAAATAAATTGTGGAAAAATATATCACAAAATTCAAAAATCCACAAAGCAAGCTTGCAAACAGAAAAGATAAACCAGCTAAGTGCCACCAGCCAGGAGGAAATTCAAAACGGTGGTGTTGGCTGCAGCCAAGTCAAGCCACTTGGGATGAGCAGGGATTGTGATGTCTGGACAGCAGTTTGGCAGGTGCAGAGGGGACCTGGAGAATAAAGTGGAGAAGGAGGTTCCGGTCAGTTGGGAGAGCTCTGGGAGCCCCAGGATGGCACCTGCCGTGTCCCCCGGGTCTGAGCAGAGATGGAAAAAAAAAAGCAAGCGACAAGGTTCCTGGCTGGGGTTCGGGAGGGAGGTCTAGGTGAGGTCAGCATACAGCAGAAAAGCCCAGGAGGGGTGGTGGGGTCCCAGGGGGAGGCGGGAAGCCAGGGGGAAGCCTGTGGCCTGTGCTTGGGAAAGACGCGTGAAATTCCGGGGAGAGGGATGGACATTGAAACAGTATTTGAATAAATATTGGCTTAGAATTTTCCAGAAATTAAAAAAAAAAAAAGAATTTTCCAGAACTGCAGATAGAAACGCTCAGTGAGAAATCAACATGATCCCCAATAGAAAAAATAAAACCAAACCCGCAGAACACCAGAGAATAATAATAATAATATTAATAATAATAAAAAATAGGCAAAGGGACAGGACAGGTTTCCTGAAAAGAAGTGACAACCGGGCAGTGCTGGGGCAGCTGCCACCGCCCACATGGGAGCCTCGGGGCTCGGGGGGTGGCGTCGGGGGGGAAGGCGCAGTTCGGAAGATGCTGCAGGCCTCGAACCCCGGCCCGCGGTCCGCCGCCAGCCCAGGGCGGGGACTCAAGCCCCGCCCCCTGGGCCCCGCCCCCGTTGCCCCGGCAACCCCCGCCGCGAGGCCGCTCCGCGCCCGCGGGGGGACGCGGCTGCCATAGCAACGCGGGGCGTGGCCTCCGAGGTGGCGCAGCCGCGGACCCCTGTGCGCATGCCCGGGCCGCTGGGCTGGGCGGGGCTGGGCGGGGCTGGGCGGGCTGGGCGGGGCTCCCGGGCGCGGGGGGCGCGGGGGCGCGGGGGCGCGGGGCCGCGGGAGGGAAACTGAGGCCAGGCTGGGAAAGAAGCCTCGCTCCGAGGCAGCGCGGGAGCCCGCCGGCCCAGCAGGACCCTTCCCCGCCCACCTTTGCTCGCTGGCTCCTGCAGGTCCGGCCCGGGGTGGCCTCAGATTCCCCGACCTGCACCTGCGGCCCGTGGCCCCCGGGCTCCCCTGCCCCCTGGGCCTCGGCTGTTCCCTCCGGGCGCCTGCCCAGCCGCGCCCCTGCCGGCCTTGCCCACTCTGCCGGCCGCACCTTCTCCTGAGCTCCTGTAGCCTTTCCTTACAGCCCAGGGCGCCCGCCCTCCCTCCAAAGCCCTCCAAAGCCCTAGGACGCCGCCTCCTCCATGCAGCCTTCCTGCCTTCACCACTGGATGGAACATTGGGGCCTGACTTCTCATCTGTCCCATCCCCTACGAGTCTCAGGTCCTCGTGTTTAAAGTGGGGACAATGCCCTCGTTTGGGTTTGGGGACAAGCGACACAGGGAGCCCACAGCAGCGAGCAGCAGGCTGTCTGGGCGCAGACCCCCCAGGCTGGCAGGCCGGCCCGCGTGCAGCGCATTCGGGAACCTCGGCCACCCTGCGGCCACCCTGCGGGCGGAGATGCGGTGGTGACTGAGCAGCAGCCGCTGGCCTGGGTGCAGTGGAAGGAGGCCCCCGAGGGCCGGCCCTGGCCCAGCGTGTGCAGTGACCACAGACTGAGTCCTGGGGCCTGGGACTGTCCACCAGGGGGACGGGCGGGCAGCCGAGGCTGGGAACACAGCGGGGCGGCAGGCGCAGAGCTCGGGCCCAGCCCCCAGGCACCTGCCCGGCCCCGCACCAGGAACCCAGGCGCTCCCAGCCCCTGCATCAGGGTGCAGCATTCTCACGCTGCTTACTTTTATTTTATTTTATTTTTAATTTTTTTTATTTATTTATGATAGTCACAGAGAGAGAAAGAGAGAGAGGCAGAGACATAGGCAGGGGGAGAAGCAGGCTTCATGCACCGGGAGCCCGATGTGGGATCCGATCCTGGGTCTCCAGGATCGCGCCCTGGGGCAAAGGCTGGCGTCAAACCGATGCGCCACCCAGGGATCCCGCTGCTTACTTTTAAATATCTGAGCTCGGTTCGCTCATGCTCCCTTGCACAGGGAAGCACAATTATCAACCCCATTTTGCCAACGAGGAAACCGAGGTGAGGAGACTTGCAAATGCCCCGGGGGTCCAGGGTCCCAGTTGGCCCCTTGGCTGAAACTCTCTCCAGGATTCCAGGAGCTTCTGGGGCCAGAGCCACGGCCGTGAGGCAGCCCCTGGGGAAGGGTGGGAAGCAGGTTCCGGCGCCCAGTCCAGGCTTTACTGCGTGGAAGCTCTGGTTAGCAGCACCCAGCCACCCCACCCCCACCCCCGGAGGGCCCGAGGCCTGGGATGAGGCCCAGGGATCTGTATTTGTCAGGACACGCCTGCGCCCTAGCAATGCCTAGTCCCGCTTGGCTGCTGAATCACCCAGGAGGTAGGACCGACGTCGCATGCCCCCTGATGAAGGATCGATGTGACCTCAGGACAGAGGCATCGCCGGGTCTCAGGCACGGGAACCTGGAACCGCGGGTGGGACAGAGCAGGGTGCTGTGGGGAAGTGGCAAGGCCCCAATGGAATTGGGCCTCTGAGCTTCTGGCCCGGGGGGCCCAGCGGGGATCTGCACTGCGTGTGGACGGCTCTGCTGGCTCTGCCCGCCCGCCAGGTGCTGACTCAGTGTCTGGCTGGCAGCCGCTGGCAGCTGGGAGGCTGGGCTGCGGCCAGAGCCCGTGGGGGGCCCTGTCCACCAAGCAGCGGCTCCCGGGGGCTCTCTCTGGGACCGGACCAAAAGGAAGTCGCTGGGTCCTTCAAGGTCAACCAGAGTCCCCTCCGGACCCCCCGCCCCATGGTTTTCCCTCCTCTGCGCATCCACAGCCACCCCACAAGTTCTGAGCTGGGTCTGGATGTGGGAAGGGCTGTCCCTCTCTGTATCCTTGGGGTGCTGTTTGTTAGGGTCGCTCCCACTGCCCACCCTAAGCCGGGTTAGGATGGGCAGGAGCAGACTGAGCGTTCATCCTCAGTAACAGCGGGATGGAGTCTGCTGTCCGCCTGCACACGAGTCTGGGGGGACAGCCTGGGGACTAGAGGCGGCCTGGGGGTTCTGCGTGCGGAGGATGTGCAGCGGGTGGCTAGACGCCACCCAGGGCTGACGCCTGAAGACACGCACTTCCCCAAGGACTTACGGTGAAGGTGGGCGTGGGGGGCGTAGACATCCCCCCTCTAGCAGGGCCCGGGGTCTGCAGGGTGGACTCCCTGCGGGCCTGGCCCCTCTTCCCTGGTCAGCCTCTGACCTCTCTGGGTCCTGGGCTGGTTCCCACCCATAGGAGGGTTCAGCAGGAGATCGGAAGGTGGGAGGAGAGGGCGGGGTGCAGGTGCAGGCGCAGGAGGGTTTCCCTCGCATCCCCCTTCAGAGCACCCCTCGTGGGTTGCCGTGCTTGCGGATGGCTTTGGTCGCTCCACGGAGGACTCCAGGCTCCAGTATGGCCCCCACCCTGTGGCCTCCGGGACCGCGAGCATCCTTGAGCAGCTGGGGGTTCGCCCTCCTACCGTGGCCCTTGGCCCTGCCCACCTGGAGTGGATGCGCAGCGTGGGCTCTGTGCTACCCGCCTTGTGCCAGTGAGGTTCCTGGGGGGACCCCCCATACGTGCCGGACCCTCACCAAAGCCCGGGAACATTGACATAATCGTTATCAGGCCTTGAGCCCTACCCCCCCCAATATCAGTAAATTAATCAAAAAAGAAATCCCACAGATCATCTTCGGAGTCCAAGGTACCAGAAAGCAGGGCGTCGCCCCAAGGACAAAACGCTCAGCACCTTGGAAATTAAAAATGTATTTGGTTAAAGGAGGAAGTAAAGGTGAAGCCGCACTCTAGTTGGAGATGAAGGAGACGGTCTGTATCACCACCAGGGGGGTGCAGAGGCCTCATGACCGAACCCCCAGTAGGGAAAATGGGGTCACAGCAAACGCTCTACTGAGAGAGAACGCCCCAACATAAATCCATCACTTACAGTTTAAGAAATAAGGCAGGGGGTGGGGGGGGGTTATCTGCCTTCAGCTCAGGTCGTGATCTCGGGGTCCTGGGATCCAGTCCCGCGTCGGGCTCGCTGCTCAGCGGGGAGTCTGCGCTCTCACCCTCTGTGCTCTCCCTCTCTCAGGTAAATAAATAAAAATCTTTTTTAAAAAAACGATAAGCACAATTTAGACTTAGAAGAAAAAAAGGATTTGCTATTTGAAGACGAGAAGATAGAGCTACAGAAACAAATACTTTGAATATTTGTATAAAATGTGAAAATCTTAAAAAAGTGGGTAATTTTCCAAGAGAATGTTAATCACCAAGATTTTCTCATCCGGTGCTCCCGGACTGCATGTTACTGTCCTCCCGAAATCCGAATCCCAAAGCGGGACGGTGTTAGGAAGCAGGGCTTTGGGCCAGTGACCAGGTGGTGAGGGTGGAAAATTTTTCTGGAGCACGAAGAATCCAGAAGCCGTGAAGGACAAGCCCAGCAGATGTGGCCACGTCAAAATCTGGAACTCAGGGGATCCCCGGGTGGCTCAGGGGTTTAGCGCCTGACATTGGCCCGGGGGCGTGACCCCGGGGTCCCGGGATCGAGTCCCATGTCGGGCTCCCTGCAGGGGCCTGCTTGTCCCTCTGCCTGTGTCCCTGCCTCTCTGTCTCTCATGAATAAATAAATAAAATCTAAAAAAAAACAACAAAACAAAACCAGCGAGGAGGAAGCATTTCTGATGTTGCTGAAAGATCGGGGACCCGCGTCCACAGCATCGCAGTGTCCGCCTGTGCTCAGCCGACGCGACCGCATGTCTGACCGTTTATCGGAGAGAAGGCACGAGCTTTGAGAGGTTTTGGGAAATAAATAACTAAATCTTGAAAACTGCCAGAGAAGGAGGAGGCCGTAAACGGCGCCGTGAGGGCTCCGAGCGCCGAGGGCGGCCCAGCCCGAGTCAGGGGGCTGCCTCCTGGGGTGGTGACAGAGCTAGCCCCGGCCGGTGGCTTCAGACGCAGACATCGGGGGGGGGGGGCGGCAGGGTCCCTCCAGGGGCCCCGGGGGGCCCTTGCCTCTCGGGTCTGGAGCTACACCAGCTGCTGGCCGCCTGCCTCCGTCGTGAAGGCCCCCGCGAGGCGACAGGGCCACAGCGTCGTCTGCCCCTCCGTGTGCGTCTGCTTCCCCGGGGCCTCCCTCCCACGAGGAGCCGTGACCCTCCGGGGCCTTGACCCGGCCGCGCCCGCGAACACTTGCCCCTGGAAGGCAGCAGTCAGGGGCTGGGCTCGGCCTCCGCTGGCGTAGCCCTCAGCGCCTAGGACAGAGGTGGGTGCGCGGAAGCCTGTGTGACTTCGCAGACACCCCAGCCACCCTCGCCGTGAACCCCGAGAACTCACGGTGCTGTGGTTGGTGGCCGTCGGGGGCGGCCCAGGCCAGCGGGCTCCACGGGCTCCTCGGAGCCTGAGGAAGCTTCCCGCGCTCCCAAGGACCCCGAGTGGCCACGGGCACCCCGCTGCAACCCCTATCTGCCCAGACCAGCCGAGCTGATTGTCCCCTGAGCCCTGACTGCCGTGATCCCCGGGGGAGGGGGGACGGGCAGCCCTGGCGGGGGCCGAGCTCATGACTACATTTAGGGCCCCCTGGGGAGCTCTGAGAAACCCCCGGCCCGGGCCTCCCAGGAGGGCCCTGAATCCCGATGGTGATGGAGGCGCCTGCCCCCGGCCCCCCAGGGTGATTTCTGTGTGCGCCAGCCCCCCTCCCCCACCCCCCTGGCCCCCCTCTGCGTCCTGCTCAGGCGGCTGCCTTTGCACAGGGTCTGGCTTCTATTCCGCTCAGGTGTGAACAAACCTCCTGCCCGTTTCCTACCCCGCGGGTGTATGGGCTCATACAGAGTGACCGGCCCCAGCCCAGGACAGGCGGCACGCGGAGGGCAGGAGGTGACACCGCAAGACTGCAGCTGGCGGCGGAAGTGGCTGCGATTAAATCTTTTCTTAGATCTTGGCAGAAGAGGGACTGACCTTGGTGGAAGGAGTTTGGGGATCAGTTTCTCTCTCATTGGTTATTCGAGAGGATGCGTGAGGGAGCCAGGAGGCCAGCGCAAGTGCCGGGGACGCGGACGGGGACGGGGACGGGCCCAAACTTCACCAGGAGCCAGAGGGAGGTGACCGCCCTGAGCCTCGGTTTCCCCAGGGACTCAGGCCTCCTCGGGCCCCTGCAGGCACCCTGCCCGGGTGCAAGGGCTGGGGGGACGCGGGGCCTCCCGGGCCCTGAGGGAGTAAGGCTCTCGGCCAGGTCAGCCCGGAAGGGACCCTAGCGACCTTGGGGTCTGAGCCACATTCTGGGAACAAGGAGAAAAAGAGGTGGGACCCAGAACGCGCCCAGGAGTGACAGGGCAGCACTGAGCGTGAGCCACAAGCCGCAGCAGGCCCCACCTGCCCCAGGGGTGGCTCTGCCTGGCGCAGGCCCCTCCCCCGGGTGCCCAGGACCTGCCCACCCCCTGGGTGGTCCCAGCTGGGCCCGGACAGCCCACACCTACCTCAGGGAGGCCGGAAGCTTTCTTCCTCTGCGCGCCCACCTGGGGCCGAGGGAAGGAGCCTCACTGGCCACCGCTGATGCCTGCAGACGTCGGCACACAGTGGCCCAGTGGCCCTGTTGGTGGGTCCAGGCCGGTGACCCACTCCGTGCCTCGGTTCCCTCATCTGTAAATGGAGAATAACAGCAGACTGTCCTCCAGGGGAGTCAGAGACCGGCTCAGTTAAGGGCTGTGAAGGACGGGGACGGGGCACACCGAGGGCCCGCTCGCTACCCCGGGGAATCTAGAATGCCCAGGACCCCACTTCCCACCTGGGCTTTTGGTCTCTGCCCTGTGCCCTCGTGCCCCGTCCCCTCCGCCCGGAGGCACAGGGACAGGAAGTCGGGGCCAGGGTTGCAGGAGAGAGAGATTCAGGGAGCAGAGGCCGGCCAGGTGGCCGGGGCAGGGGGCCACCTGCTAAGGTCAGTGGACAGCTGGCCTCCGTCCTGCAGCTGCCCCTCACTCGGGGGCCCCTGGGTAGTCGCCTCTCCCTGTGGGGCTCCCTTCCCCGCTTTGGGCCAGAAGACCCGGGACCCTTTATGCAGCACATGCCCTGGTTCAAATGGCATCAGCAGCCTTTCCGTTCACCTGTCCGGGGCTCCCCTCCTGCCCTCTACAACGCGGAGGGAAAGAAGGGGTGACCGGCCGTCACGACAACCGCCTCCGCTCAGCACCACGCACGGAGGCACAGCCTGACCTGCACGCCTGGTGCCCCGCGGCAGGAAGCACCCGGCCCCACCTGCTCCAGGTTCTGGGGCGAAACGTATAAAAGACAAAAACAGAACCGGGAGGGCAGGAAGGCGGCCCGTGTGGGCTGGAGCTTCGGGCCGTGGGGACAGAGGAATACGCGTGGGGAAGCCCACGGAGGGCGCACGCTGAGCCCTGACGGTACAGCCTTCACGGGCCAAGGCCTAGGTTCTTTTTTTTCCCTTTTTAATTTTATTTATTTACTTAAGAGAGAGAGAGAGAGAGAGAGAAAATGAGCACGTGAGCAGGGGGAGAAGCAGAGGGAGAAGCAGGCTCCCTGCAGGGGACTCGATCCCGGGACCCCGGGGTCGGGCGGTAACACGGGCGGTGCCACGGCCTCGCAGGAACCCCAGCCCGGACAAGCCCCCTTCGAAGAGACGGTTTGGACACCTTGGGCCTGACGGTTTGGACACCTTGGGCCTGACGGTTTGGACACCTTGGGCAAATCTGTCTCCGGACGGGCTACCGGACCCGACGGAGGGGGTGTCGGTTTTGTTAAAGACGATAGTGGCCCCGGGGCTCTGGGAGAAAACGTCCCTCTGTTGAGACGCACCCGGGAAGGTTGGGCTGAAGCGACGCAACGCGTAGGACCAGCTCTCAAATCTGCGGCGAGATGAGACCACGGGAGCGGGGCCGGGACCGGTCAAGGCCACGGCGGTGGGAGGGGGGAGGCGGTGACCCCCGCTGCAGGTAATGAGGGTACGGCTGTCGGGTCCTTCCCCGCATCACCGTCACCGCCTCCGCGGGTCCCCATGCGCCCCTTGCCCCCCTGCTCACGCCCTGAGCCAGCCCACTTGGAACCCCCCCCTCCGGGACCCGTGGGCACCTGCCCTGACTCCTGCCCAGCTCCCCGCTGCCCGCAGAACAGGGAAGGGGCCTTGCTGCTCCCACGGGCCCCGGCCTGGCCACCAGGTGTCACTGTTTCCCGCGGGGCCGCCCCTGCTTCTCCATCCCGCCCAGGCCAGGCTCGGGCAAGGTGGGGTCCAGCACCCACTATTGGAGCTGGGTGACCTCCGACCCCAGGCGTACCTGCTCCGAACCTTCCCGATCGGTGGTCTGCCTTGGAGAGGGGCCTGGCCTCCTGGGCACCCCACCAGAGATGGGGATCCTCAGGCCACCCCCATGTCCCTGCGTCAGAAAGCCCGTGGACTCTGGGTCTCTTGTTTGGGAGCCTCTGGTCCCCGGCACAGGGCCTTGCAGGGAGAGCCACCCCCTCCCCCGCGACTCTCGGGGCTCCGTCCTTGCTGTGATCTGTGGCTGCAGGGAAGGCCCGTGGCGCCTGGGGCTGTGGGGACAAAGCCACACGGGTCCCCCCGGGCCCTCCTGCAGCCCGCCTTGGCCCGGCTGACCTCTCCCCGTCACATCTTGGCTCACGCGTGCTTCCGCCAGGAGGCCCCGCCGCTCCCCCCTTGCATGTCCTTCTCTGAGGCCACAGCTTCCGGTGGTGACGGGGATGCAACCCCCCTCCCGGCCCCCCTCCGGGTCCCCTCCCAGCCACAGGCTGGAGCAGCGAGGCTGTGCGTCCTCCCCCTGTCGTCCCGTTCACGACTGTTCTTTCTCACACAGTGGACACGGAGGAGACTGTTACTCAGAAGCATGAATTAATGAGGCAAACGTCGGAACCTGTCCTGTCGCTCGGAGGACAGAAATGGGGGGCGGCTCATGGGCTCGTCGCCGGCCCCGGGGGAAATCAGGCAACCTCCTCAGTTCTAAAAAGCCAGTGGTGCATACTCGTCAGGGTCCCCGGGCCCACCCGGCTCAGGGACCTTGAGGGCCCCCCGGACTCCCCAGAGGCTGCGCCCCTGCTGGGGTTGGTGCAGCCCAGGGGAGGGGGGAGCAGGGAGCAGGGGGGAGCTCCCAGGCCCTCCCCGTGGGCTCACACAGGCCACCACCGGGTGTGACGACGCGGGAGGTGCCATCTGCAGGGGGAGTCCGTGGAGCCGCAGCGCCCAGGGTACCCGTCAGGGGCGGGGCACGCGGGTCCCTCTGCCCGCTGGAGACTCGGGTGCTCAGCCTGAACCACGCTGCTCGGGCAATGGCGGCGGTGGGGCCCTCGGACCCCTGAGGGTGCTGGGGGCCCTCCCGGGGGCCTGCGGGTGGACCCCTTTCTGCACAGCAGGTGAGCAACAGTTCCCTGCATATCAGGTCGAGCCCATGAAAATAAATCTGCTCTAGAAGCACCGTGGACAGTGTCGGTGCCAGCTGCAGGTGACGCGAACACACCTGCTCCCTGCCCAGCCCGCGGAGGTGGGCAGCGGCTGCTGCGGCCGTACCATCCGTCACGTGGCTTAAGAAATCGTTTCTTCATCCGCTCATTAAAAAATAAATAAATAAATAAATTGAGGGGCACCCGGCTGGCCCCGTCGGTAGAGTGCGCGACTCTCAATCTCAAGGCTGTGAGTTCGAGCCCCACGGTGACGTAGAGATGACTTCAAAAAAATTAAAATCTGGGATCCCCGGGTGGCTCAGCGGTTTAGCGCCGCCTCCAGCCCAGGGCATGATCCTGGAGACCCGGGATCGAGTCCCACGTCGGGCTCCCTGCAGGGAGCCTGCTTCTCCCTCTGCCTGTGTCTCTCGGCCTCTCTCTCTGTGTGTGTCTCTCGTGAATAAATAAATAAATAAATCTTTTTTAAAAAAATTAAAATATTTAAAAAAAAATTGGAATGGAAGAGACCGACAAAGCCCGAGTGTCCGGGAGCACTCAGGAGGAGCCCGTGATCACGTGTGGCTCTGCTCTGCTGTGTCCTGCTGCCGGGGACCCGAGAATGTTCTGGCGCCGACTCCACTCAGATGCCAGCCTACTGCCAGTGACTGCGGGGACGCAGGCAAACATCTGGCAACGTGAGCGTGAGAAAGTGACAGCCTCCCATTCTGAAAGCGGCTTGGTGGAAATACGGGGCTTCTAGGCGTTTCATCTGTTTTAAATTTGTTTCGTTCTTTTTCAAAATTATTTACAAAAAATACCAAAATTATTTACAGTGCGTACATAAATACCTTTATCTTTTTTTTTTTTAAGATTTTATTTATTTATTCATGAGAGACACAGAGAGAGGCAGAGACACAGGCAGAGGGAGAAGCAGGCTCCCTGCAGGGATGCGGGACTTGATCCCGGGACGCCGGGGTCACGCCCTGAGCCGAAGGTGGACGCCCACCGGCAGAGCTCCTGGGTGGGGGCCCTGAACACCTTCGCCTTAACCTCAGCTGTGAAAGTGCACCAGGGAGGCACTGCATTCACTTTCCCGGGAGAAGGCCCTGAAAGAGCAGAGCCCACTGGGTGTTCGAAAGCACCAGGGTGCAGGGGCTGGTGGCCGTCGCTGGCAGAGATGCAGGCGAGGGCGGGCACCCACAGCCCGGCCCCAGACAGAGCCCGTGGGGGGCGTGCGGCCTGGATCTGGGCCCGGGCCCAGAAGAATCTACTCATTCAGCTCCTCCGCGGCATCCACACCCAGCCCCCCTCTAGAAAGTGGCCGCATTTAGGGGAACAGATGCCCACGAAGCCCTCGGTGACGGTCAGCCGTGGAAGGGCCGTGGGACAGGTCGGGCGTCTGCGGGGCGGGGGCCAGTCTGCGCAGCGGCCACGGGGATCGGGGCCTTTTCCCGCGAGAGCCAGCCTGTGCCCAAACTCCCTCCCCTTGTGAGGACACCAGTCCCACGGCGGTCACATTCGCCGGGACTAGAACATCTATTTGGGGAGGACACCATCCATCCGATGGCACCCGGAAGCCCTGGAGATGTGAGCATGGCAGGATTTTGCAGCGGTGGGTGCGGGCACGTGGCAGCCGCCCAGCCCCAGCGGACCCGCACGTCCCCACCGGCCCTGAGCAGCGTCCTCTTGGCCAGCCCGACCTGGCTTGGATGTGGGTCGTCTCAGAGAAGGCGGAGCTGAGTCGTCCTGGCCTGGGCGTCTCGCTCAGGCTTGTGGGGCCTCACATCCCTGGAAGTCTGAGTCCTGGGGGTCCGGGGAGCATGACGGGGGCCAGAGACACTGCACAGGAGGCCCCTGTGTCCCTGCAGCCCTGGGCTCCCTGGTCACCGTGGCCCTGATTTTGGATGAGGACACTGGGTGCAGAAGGGGCAAGCAGCTGCTCAGGCTGCGCCCTGGGGGGCCTCTAGGTACCCACCCCCGGCCCCACCACCTCCCGGGAGAGGCCGCGCCCCTGCTCTCTGCGCCCCACACCGAGCCTGCCCACAGGCCTGTGGTGGGGGCTCCCGGGAGTCCAGGGGACGGGGTCGGGGGCTTCTCTCTCCTGAGGACCGAGAGTGGATTCCGCGGGCCCCCACCCCTGCTTCCCCAGCCTCAACCCTCGGAACCCTAAGGAGAGCTCACCTGGCTCGTGCGGCCTGCGGACGGAGTGCTAGAGGTCACCGCAGGTGAATCCCTGACGTCGTAGCTCCTGAGCCCTTCCGCAGTTTAGGGGCCGTGCCCAGACTCCAGAGGGGGCCACCTCCAGGTACCCCCAGGCGTCTCCCTCCCCACCTGGAAGGGGCGCCTCAGGCAGGCAGGAGGTGGCATGGGGGGCGGGCAGTGCTCCGGGGGAGGGTCTGGGGTCCTAGACATCCCTTTGCTCCCCGGCCTCGGTGGGCAAAGCATCTTGGTCCCCGGAGGTGCAGAGAGACGCGCATGGGGTGACCCAGGAGGGCCGCGCTCAGACATGCAGGCTGGGGTTAGGAGGGCGGCCAGGGTGGGGGCTGGTGCCACTGGTGCCGCGGGTCTCGCCGTGGGCCCCTCCCTGGGGCCCAAGCTCAGCGCCTCCGGAGGACCCACCGTGGGAGGAACACCCCGGGTCGCAGGGCGGGGGGAGGGGAGCCAGGCCCACCTCCCAGGAGGACCCCGGGGTCCCAGGAAGCCCGCGAGGAAGGCCCTGAGGGGCGCCTCTCACCCCAGCACCGGTTGGGGTGCAGGAGGTCGGAGGGGCCCCGGTGGGCAGGCAGGTCCTGGGGGTGGGGGCGCCCGGGCCTCGAGGCCGCCGGAGCTCCCGCCAACTCTTCCGGAGGATGTGCTGCCCCGGGTTCCAGCCCTCGTGCTGAATTTCGGTGGCGTTAAGGCTCGTGGCGACGCCGCCCGGCGGCCCGGCCACACCTGCACCTGTGGCTCCCGGCGTGGACGGCACCCGCGCCGCCCTCTGATTCCTGCCCGGAAGCTGACCCGCCTCCCGGGTGGGGGCCTGGGCCGCCCTGGCTGCTGCTGGGCTCAGGGCAGCACCCAAGGCCGAATGTCACTGAAGAAGCCCGCTCAAGCGTGACCTAGGAACCGACTCAAATGTGTCTTGACAGCAAATCCGGTCGAGCTGGTGCAGCCGCCCCGCGGGGAGGGCGCAGGGGGGGAGCGCAGGGAGGGGCACGGGGGTTTGGGGGCTGCGGAGGTCATAGGGCGTGTGGGGGGCAAGGGACCCCAGGGGGTATGGGGGCGCGGGAGGCACAGGCGGGGCCGCGGGGGGGGGCATGGGGGGCGTGGGGGCTGCGGGGGACGTGGGGTGTGGGGAGGGCATGGGGACCCCGGGGGGCTCAGGGGGTGCGGCTGCCTCACGGGGTCACCGGCCGGCAGGAGGCTCTGGGTGGGACGGCCACCAGCCCGCATCCGCCCTGCGTCGCCACTACTGTCGCATTATGAACCCAACAGCAGTCCGGAGCCCCCAGGTGGCCCCACCCCAGGAGGGCCCGAGATGCACGGAGCCGGCACCTGGGGAGCCCCAGGGATGCTCAGTCACGGCTGCTGGAGCTGCTCCGCCCCTTGCACACGTGTGTGAGCAGCTCTGGGTCACGTCGCGTGGGCGGGGCCTAGTCCCGTGTCCCCACCCCACCTCGTGCCCGCTCCCCTGCACGCGGGATTCCCTGTCGCCCTCAACGCGCCGCTGCTGCTGCCCGGCCCAGGCTCCGGGCCTTCCCTGGGGGCAGGCATTTCATGCTGGGCCCTGTGTCCTGCACCCCAGGGCGCCGGGTGCCGCAGGGGCGCAGCTCTGCGGGGAGCAGGGGTGGTGCCGATCGGTGTGCAGGGCGCCCGCGGCACCCGTCACCCCCAGCTAAGCACAGGCTCTCATGACGCTCCCCGCGGGGACCTGCTCCTGCCGCCCAGGCTGACCGTCCTCCCCAGCTGGGACCCGGCGGGCTGGAATGCTGAGCCCGGGGCCCCACTGGCCCTTGCTGCCCGCCACCGCTCGGCAGGCTGCCCCTGGCTGCGGGTGTAGAACGGAGCGTCCTCAGGTCCCGGCCGGAGCGGGCAGTTATCACAGCCGAGGTCGCCGCCTGCCTGGAGCCCCGAGGGGACAGGGGGCACGCACCCTGCCCCCGCCCCCAGGGCCCGGCATCGGGCGAGCACGGCCGCTCTCTGGGGTGGGGCTGACACCGCCTGCACCTGGCCAGGGGGCCTTTATCTCCAGCCTCCAGACACAGAGGTCGCTCACCTGCCCGGCCGCTGGCTGTCCTCGCGGGCTTCCTGGGCTCCCAATCGCCTCGCGGCCTGAGGAAACGCCTCTCGGGATTGCAACAGCCCCCTCCTCCCGGTGACGCCAACCCGGCGCATCTTCCTGTTTGGGAACAAGGCACACCCCCTCCTGGTTTCCCTGGGCTGCACCCACCCACCCGCCTGCCAGGACTGGGCCCGGGCTGCCCCCCCCCACGTGCCGTGCCCACACGTGGTGCTGCCCAACGTGGGGTCCTGCCCGGGGCGGGGCGGGCAGGCTGCAAACTGCGTGACGCATGTGGCACGAGGCTTGTGGTGGAAGGGCCGTCAGGGGACTCCACGCGGCGGGGATGACTCCCTGGACATCCAGGGAGTTGGGCCACAGCCCCGAAGGAAGGGCCAGCAGGGCTGGACAAAGGGGGACAAGCATTCCCGGCAGAGGGAACGGTCCCTGTAAAGGCCACAGATGCACTTGTTAGCCTGGAGTGATGGGCCTGTGCCTGGGGGGTGCAGCCCCCGGCTGGGAGGGAGGATGGACCCAGGGGAAGAGGCGTGGTCACCGAGGGGACGAGCCCGGCCCAGGGGGCTGTGGGCAAGGAGCGGGGGCAGCGGCTGAGCCGAGGGGAGGACATGCCCCTGGTGGTCAGCTCGGGTGGAGCTGGCTCCACACCGTGACTCCAGAGCCCAGGGCTGCACGGACGTCCCAGACGCCACAGCGGGGCAGGACCCGAGACGGCCGGCTGCATCGGGGGGCCTCTAGCTGTGGGGGCCTCCCCACGTTGTTCCAGGCTCCCTAGTTTCCTCTGCGTCCTCCCAGTTCTCCCACTCCCCCTTGACCTTCCCCTGGCAGCCCCTGGGGTTCTCCTCCCCACCCCCCCCCAGCTCTACGAGGCTCTCAGCTCCCTGGGCCCATGCAGACCCCGGGACTCCCCTGGCCCACCCTCCCCCCACCCGGTGAGGGCCCTGCTCTTCTTGCTGACGCTGCACCAGATGGAGCAGCCAGGCTGGGCCTGGTCCAGAGGGAGTAGTGCAGGGGGGAGGGAGGGCCGGGGGGGCAGGAGGGGGCTCCCACGCAGCCTTCCTGTGCTGGGGGTGCCCAGGCTCCCACGGCACGAGTGCCCGAGGCCAGCTAGGGCCTCACCTTCCCCGGGCCGCCCTGGGCTGCCTGGCTGGCATGTGGGGCCCGGGGCCTCTGCCCGCTTCTTTGCCCATCAGACGACAGAGCACCACCTCTCCGGCAAGGCTGTGCAAGTCCCCGGGGGCCAGACCATGGCCAAGGCTCCTGGGTCCCCGCAGCCCTGGGATGCGACAAGCCCAGAGCCGGCAACAAGAGCTGGATGAAGGGATTTGGCTGAGCTGGGGATCCAGTCGTCACCCGGGAGGGGCACGTGTCAGGCCCCAGGGGACGGTCCTGCGTCCTCCATCACCATGAAGCCTCCTGCAGGAAGCCCTGAGGTTCCCCTGGTCACTAAGGCCCGCGGTGCCAGAGCCCCGAGCACAGAGCGGGAGGACGCACACGCGCCCCAACCAGGCCCCCTTGAGAGCGACGAGCAGTATTGGTGCTGCTCAGGGAACAGCCAGCGGGAGCCCCCTCCCCCGGTTCCTGGCAGCAGAGGCTTTTCTGACTCCCTGGGACACTAGTGGCTCCGCTGCACAGGTGTCTCCACGTGCAGGTGTCCTTGTAGCACAGGTGTGTCCACTTCGCAGGTGTCCCCGCAGCAGTGGTGTCCCTACAGCACAGGTGTCTCCACTGCACAGGTGTCCCTGCCTCAGCTGGCCCTGGGTCCTCTTCCTGCTTCTTGACTTACATTTATTCTACCCACTTAGCAAGCAGAGAAGGCTCCGCAGGCAAACATGGCCTTGGTTACACGAGAGAACACCAAACCTCAGGGCCCTTGGGAACGAGAGGCACAGGGAAGGACCAGGAGGAACATGTCCTCCGTGTGAGCGTGTGCATGCACACTCGTGTGTCTACACACACGGGGCAGACGTGTCTCCTAAACTGAGCCTTTCCCTTAGCTCAGCAAACTGTGGCCCCTAAGCCAAATCGGGCCCACCGCTTGTTTTTACAAATAAAGTTTTATTGGCACCCAGCAACCCACCGCAGCCACTCTTGCACCATCACAGCAGGCCTGAAGCCGCCATACAGCCTGTAGGGCCTGCCAAGCCGGAAATATTTGCTCTCTGGTCCTTTAAGAAAACCTTTGAGCCCCCCTGAGCCCCCAGGACGCCCTTGGCTGGGGCTGGGCACCTGACAGCTGAGAGGAGCCGGGAGGAGCGCGAGGGCAGAGGACAACTTGCCAAGCTGTTTTTCATTCACTGGACTCTGGAGGCTCCTCCCCGCAGCAAGGGTTCAACACCCCGGCTGTCAGGCCCTGACGTCCGTCCGGGAGAAGCGTCAATAAAGGGTCAGGTACTGGCGGCAAACAACGCAAGGCAGAGGGCGTAGCGGGAGCCCATCGACCGCCTCGCCTTTGGACGCCCCACGAGGCCCTCTGGGAAATGTTCCGAGCGCTGGCCAGGGCCAGTGTGGCCCTGGGGCCACAGGCGGCAGGTTGGGTGCGGACCATGGCCTCCCAGCAGCTGCTGGTGGCCCCCCCAAAGGCCCTGCTCAAGCCCCTGTCCATCCCGAACCGGCTTCTGCTGGGGCCCGGCCCTTCCAACCTGGCCCCGCGCATCCTGGCGGCCGGAGGGCTGCAGATGATCGGGCACATGCACAAGGAGATGTTCCAGGTAGGACGTCCAGGGGGGCGCAGCGGGCGCCCCGGCCTCCTCCGTGGGCAAGGGCAGGGGGCGCACGGCTGACCTGCACGCCCCTGCCCGCAGATCATGGATGAGATCAAGGAAGGCATCCAGTACGTGTTCCAGACCAAGAACCCCCTGACCCTGGCCGTCAGCGGCTCGGGACACTGCGCCCTGGAGGCCGCCCTGTTCAACCTCCTGGAGCCGGGCGACTCCTTCCTGGTCGGGGCCAACGGCATCTGGGGGCAGCGGGCCGCGGACATCGGGGAGCGCATCGGTACGGGATGGGCCGGGGGTGGGCTGCGGGCCCGCTGACCTTCCCCGCGCCTCCTGGGCAGACCCGCCTGCACTCCCCGCGAGGGCTCACCCCTCTCGTGCCTCCACCTCCCCGCCAGGCCGGCTGCTGGCTTCTCCAAGCGGGCATTGGGGTGCTCGAGAGACCCCCCTACCTTCCAGGCTCCCAGCGTGCGAGGACAGGCGTCCCCGGAGCACGGGGGGAGGCAGCGCTGTGGGGAGCCCCAGCTCCCGGCACAAACCCGACAGGCTCTCCCAGGCTGAGGTGTCGCCCCTGCTCTGGGACAGGACAGGGTTTCAGAGGCTGAAAGCCCCTCCCAGCATCGCAGAGTGCAGGGGCGCAGAGGAGGTCGGCACCTCCGGAGGAAAGGTTTTGAGGAGCGGGAGCGTGCGGGGGTTTAATGATTGACCTCGGCCTTTGGCAACAGCCCACAGCTCCTGCACGGTCAGCTCCACACATGGCCGCACTCCGTCCTGGTTAATGGACAGCCCCCAGGGGCCTAAGGGGTCCCCCCCACCGCTCACCTGGTCCCCTCGAGTCCACACACTGGTTTGCAGAGGGAGGCGGCATCATGGGGCACAGGTGGGGCCCGGGTGACCTCAGGCTCCCGCCCTCCAGAGGCTCTGCCCCAGCCTGCACCTGGCCTTGGGCTCCCCCTGGGGCTCGAGTGGTCCTAGGGCTCCTCCCTCCTCCAGACAGCAGGGGGCTGCAGGGGGTGCACGGGGGTCCCAGAGAGGGGACGGCCCAGGGCCTGCGTCCTGAGCCCCCACTCACCTGTTCTCCTCCACTCGGCCACCGAACGGTGCTCGACGGCACAGTCCACCCGGCTGTGTGCGAAGGCTGCCTGGCTTCCCAGGTGGGGGGCCTGGCTGGGCTCCGGGAGGCTAGGCCGGGGCAGGGGCCGTGCAGCTGAGCCTGAGCACTCTCCCCCCTGCACCCCGGAAACCTCAGCTCACAGACAGCAGCCTCGCTGAGGACCCCTCACCTTCCTCTCCCCTCCGGCTTCGGGCCGGGGTGGGGGGCACCCGCCTCCACAGGCTCCCACAGGCTCCCACGGCCCCCGTCCCCACGGCTGGTGTGGGGCTCACCACTCACTGTGCCCCTCCCTAGGAGCCCGGGTGCACTCGATGGTCAAGGACCCTGGAGGCTACTACACGCTGCAGGACGTGGAAGAGGTGGGGGGCTCGTCCGTCCTGGGGAGGGACCAGCAGATGGGGGCTGGCCGCTGGCCCTCAGCCCCTCCCAGCACCAGGTGACCGGGCGCAGGGGACATCCCAGACCTGGGAGCCGGTGGAAAGCCTGATAGGGAGGGTTCTGTGTGGCAGGGAAACTGAGTCAGCAGCCCAGTCGCGTGGGGGATGTGGGGGGTGGGACAAGCCGAGGCCAGCCCCTCCCCATCAGGAAAGGTGCTCCCCAGGCAGCCCGGACCCTGTGCCACCCGGGCAAGGTCCCCGGAAGGGAGCTCCCGCCCCAGGCCAGGTGCCGGCCCAGCGCTCCCCGGACGGGGACTAGGCGCGTCCAGCTGCCGCCCCCGGGTCTGTCCGCCGCGTGGGGGGCGGGGGTGTGGGGGCCGAGCCGGCCCTGCCCAGGGCCCACGCGCTGCCACCGCCTGCAGCCGTCCCATCTGTGCCCCCGTCTGTCCCCTCAGGGCCTGGCCCAGCACAAGCCGGTGCTGCTGTTCCTGACGCAGGGGGAGTCATCGAGCGGCGTGCTGCAGCCCCTGGACGGCTACGGGGACCTCTGCCACAGGTGAGGACAGCCCCGCTCCCCCCGGCCTCTGGCCTCCCGCCGCCGTCACTCAGCGCCGGGCACCTGGTCTGCAGGACCTGCCCCCGCCGGACAGCCTGTCCCCGGGCGTCGTCTGCTAGACCGAGCCTGGGCTGCGACCCCCAGGCTGTCCCCCTCCCCTCTGTGCCCACAGTGGAATATGCTTTATGCCTTTGAAAAGAATTTTTTTTAAGTAATCTCTGTGCCCAGCGTGGGGCTCAAACTCACAGCCCTGCCATCGAGTCCCACACTCCACCTATTGGACCAGCCAGGGGGCCCCAGGCCATTTTTTTTTTTTATTTCTAAAAAAACGTGGAGATGGAGGAGAGTCAGAGCTCCGGGCCGGGCCGGGGCTGGACTCTGTCCCCCTGGGCTCTGCCTGCACGGCCGGGACACCGTGGGCAGCAGGAAGGCCCGTCCCCGCAGCCCCGGGCCCTCACACGCCCCGAGGTCCCGCGTTCACACCTGCTCCGCCCCTGTGCAGCCGCTTCCCACACGGAGCTGGGCCGGGGGGCCGGGGGTGGGGTGGTCCGGGAGGAGCCTCCCAGGCTTCCGCGCTGGCCTTCTGGAAGTTCCCAGGGGCCCCCGGGAGCCCAGAGTCAGACGCCTCCGTGCTCCCCTCCACTGCCCTGCACCCCCAGGTACAAGTGCCTGCTCCTGGTGGACACCGTGGCATCCCTGGGCGGGGTCCCCATCTACATGGACCAGCAAGGTAAGGCCCGCCCCCATCACCCCAGCTGCTGCAGCCCTGGAGGGAAAGGCTCCGTCGGCAGCGCCCGCAAGCCCGCCATCGGCCCACCATGGGCTCCGGGCGGGACGGGACCCACCAGCTAATCGACACCCAGCGTCTGTGGGGGCCGTCAGCCCCCGATGTGGGCAGCAGGCACGAGGGAGAAGCTCCTCCAGCACCTGGAGAGGTGCGGGGCCCCCAGGAGTCGGCAGGGGACGTGCCAGACTGGGCCGCAGTGTCCCCGTTGGCCGGTCACACGCCACCAGCCCCGTGTGTGGGGTGGCCCCACGGGCCCAGCATCTCCCCGCAGCGGGAAGTCCGAATTCCCCCCAGCTTGGCGGGGCGCTCCCCGGAACCCCCTCCACCCGGGAGCTCCGCACAGGGCCCACCATGAAGGGATAGGCTTGGGAGGGGGGCCCTGGGGACCCATTGCGGGGTGGCAAGGCCGTCCCCAGGATGCCCACACCATGCCCCCAGGTGACGAGGCTCCGGCCCACATCCCGGGAGACAGTGCTGCCCGGAGAAGCTGACGTGGGGCCCAGGGCGCCCTCCGCACCTTTGCGCTCTGTAGCGGAGTCCGTAGACCCCAACATAAGGTCGGGGAGCATCGGCCACGTGCATGGAGGCGCCCGGCCAGCAGGGTCCCCTGACTATGTGACCAGCCACGGCTCGCCTCTCTCCTGGCGGCGGCCCCTCGGTTCTCGCCGGGCTCGCGCTCTCAGGAGTTAGGCCTACAGAGCGCTCCGGGCCGGGTGACCTCGGGGGCACATTCGGCCGCCGCGGGCCCGCGCGACCCTCACATCACGTGCGGGGTTTCTCCGCACCCAGCAGACCACACGTGGGGGGCCTGCGGCTTAACCCAATCCCCCCGAGACGGCATCAGGTCGCGTAGGTAAAGCGTTGAATCCGATGGGAGCGTCCACCCTGCTTCGGACGCCTCTCTGCTCTTGGACCTGCCGGGAGGGCACCCCCGCCCCACGGTCCCACCCGCGGGGAGCGGCCCCCAGGAGCACACGCCCCGCCTCTCCACAGGCATTGACGTCTTGTACTCGGGCTCCCAGAAGGTCCTGAACTCGCCTCCAGGGACGTCCCTCATCTCCTTCAGTGACAAGGCCAAGTGAGTGACCCCGGGGCCCCCGCCTGGGGCTGGATGAGCAGTGAGGCCGGGTGGCCCCCGGGGAGGGAAGGGCAAGGGACGGAGGGGCTCCTTGGGGGGTGCTCAGGCCCCGGACTGCTCACGGCCCACCCAGGACACCCCGGACAGGTGCGCCAAAGCTCTGAGGCCACAGGCCGGTGGCAGCCGGGGCGCCGTGAGGGTCGGGGGTGTGAGGCCAGCTCCATGAGGCCCCTCCCGGAGCCCGGGCTTGGGGTGGGGATGCAGGGCCTGGCATTAGGGAAGCTTCCCAGCCTCAAGCAAGGACGGGGTCCAGTGCCCGTCCCCCAGGCCTCCACCCCCGGCTCAGCGTCCTGGAGCCGATGCACAAGCCGCTCCAGGGGGTGGACGTGGGACCAGCTCTGTCCGGCAGCCCCCGGGGCCCCCCACGTCCCCGGCGTCCAGACCCCGCGCCGGGCCAGGCTGGGATGGAGCACGGGCCCCAGCCGATGACTGCTGTCAGCTGCCCTTGGCCGTTCACCGGCTCAGAGACAGTCCCCGAGGGGTCAGGGCTTGTGGGGGGCGTGGTGGGAGGGGCTGTGCCGAGCCCGGAGCCGAGCTCGCGTGGGCAGCGGCCCCGTCTGTTCGCAGCCGTCTGCGGAGCAGGTGTACGGAGCTTCAGGACGGCTGCGTTACTGGCCTGAGAGCAGAGGGGCCCCCGGGGCGCAGGGCCGGGGTCCCAGGGGCCTCACCCCGCCTCGCCGGCTGACTTCCGCGGAACAGGCAGCCTCCCGAGCCTGCCCCAGGCGCTCCAGCCGGACAGACGGCGGCGCTCAGGCTGCTCCTTCCTTCGCAGGAGTAAGATCTACGCTCGGAAGACGAAGCCCGTCTCCTTCTACCTGGACATGAAGTGGCTGGCCAACATCTGGGGCTGCGACGACCAGCCCAGGGTGTGAGGAGCGCAGGGCTGGGGCCGGGCGGCGGCTGGTGGGGGCCTGGGGTGGCTGCCCCCCACTTCCAGGCTGCAGTCCAAGCCCGGAGCCCGGCCAGAGCCCCAGGACTCAGCGGCGTCGGCCAGCGATGCCCCCACTCGGTTCCCCACGTCCCCCGGGGCCCTCCCCAGCAGCACGGCCCCACCACCCTCCCGGCCCTGTCCTCTCGGGGGGACCCGGCCCTGCCACATGTTCCCTCTGTGGAGTCTCAGTTTACCCACCCCCCCAAAGAGAGGGGCTGAGCAGGGGCTCCTTGGGGTGGTGCTCAGCTTCAGGCCAAGGCCCCTTACGGCGCACGCGGGGCCGGGGGCTCCAGGAGGTGCACTCTCCTGGGCGGGCCCCGTGGCCTCTCGGGGCTGCTGGGGCAAACCAAGGCCGGGTGGGGGGGCCGCCGCGCTGGACCGAGCTGCTCCTCTTGCCCCGAGTCTGATTCCCCAACTGGACAGCGGCGCCCGGCAGTGGGCTGGACCCGTTGCCAGAGAGCCCGGTCCCCGCCGCCCCCGCCCGGTGACGCTGCCCCCCCGCCCCATCTTCCAGGTATCATCACACCACCCCCGTCATCAGCCTGTACAGCCTGAGGGAGAGCCTGGCCCTCATAGCGGAACAGGTGAGCGCGGGCGGGAGCAGCGGGAAGCAGGGCCTGGCAGGTGCAGGACCCCGGGGCGGGTGCCGCGAGCTCCCGGGAGCCCCTGGGCGGGGGCCGGCGGCCTCTGGGGCACCTGCTCCTGACTCCCCGCGGCCCCTCGGAGGACTCTCAGGGCTGCTTGGGGGGCCGGGTGGGCCTGGGCTGCCGACCAGAAGCACTGAGGGCACGTGCGGCAGAGCCAGGTGCAGCGGGGTGGGGCCGAGAGGGGGCGGCCCACGGAGCAGGTCCTGGGAAGACGGGTCCCTGTGTCGCTCCGAAGCCCCCTCCTCTCCCGTGGCCACCTCCCCACCTACAGGGAGGTGCTCCCACCTGCCCATCACCAGGGGCCACGGGCCCCATCCGCCGCCTGGGTCCCCACCGGCCCCCCCAGACCCAGACTATTTCCACTGCCCTGAGGCGGCTCCAGGTCCGGTCGCTGGGGGCTCAGGGGCTCCCAGGGGCGTCAGAGGCCAGGCCGGGAGGGGAGCCCAGGGGCGCTCTGTGGTCTCAAGCTGCCCCCCAGCAGGGATGAGAACCAGCTTCCCCCCCTCACCACGGAGGGAGGCCCCGGCCCGCCCACTGGTGCCCTCTGCCCACCCAGGGTCTGGAGAACAGCTGGCGGCAGCACCGGGAGGCCACGGCATATCTGCATGAGCGCCTGCAGGGGCTGGGTCTGCAGCTCTTCGTGAAGGATCCCGTAAGGAGGGCAGCAGGGTGGAGGGCAGGGAGGCAGAGGGCAGGGGTGGGGGACGGGGGCAAGGGGCAAGGGGCGGGGGACAGGGCGTGGAGGGCGGGGAGCAGGGGCGTAGGAGACAGGTGGAGGGTAGGGGGTGGGGGAGGAGGGCAAGGGGCGGGTGAGGGGGCGGGGGCCAGAGAGGACAGGGGCAGGACACAGGGCGGGGGCAGGGGCAGGGAGAGCATGTGGGGCAGGGGGAACTGCTGCGCAGCCCCCTCTGAACGGACACAGTCCTGTGGTCGCCGGGCGGTCACTGTCACGGTCCCAGCTCCCGCCTGGAGTCGTTCCGGGTGATCTCTGAGCCCAGGACGCCCATCGGCCTCCAGGGCCTGCAGTCCAGCGGGGGGGGGGGGGGGGGGAGGCTCCCCTGTTTCCCTGAGCCTGGGGGCTGTGACTGGCCTGAGGGGCACAGACGCACGGGCGCGGGGAGCTGGTGGCCGCACTCCCCGGGCCCCTTCTAGTGCTGGCCCCGAGCCGTCGCGTGTCCCGCAGGCCGCCCGGCTGCCCACCGTCACCACCGTGGCCGCGCCCGCCGGCTACGACTGGAGAGACATCGTCAACTATGTCATGGACCACTTCGACATCGAGATCACGGGCGGCCTTGGGCCCTCCGTGGGGAAGGTGAGGGGACGCGGCGCCCTGAGGCCGGGCCGGGCACCGGCCACAGCCACCGGGAAGCTCCCCACCCCCACCCCACCCGGGTCTGGGGGAGCTCCCTGGGGGGCGGGGGCGGGGCGCGTCCAGGGCCGGGTTGACCCCCCGCCCCCGCAGGTGCTTCGGATCGGCCTGCTGGGCTGTAACGCCACCCGAGAGAACGTGGACCGCGTGACCCACGCCCTGCAGGAGGCCCTGCGGCACTGCCCCCGGCACAAGCTGTGACCTGGCCGCCTGCTGCTCCCCACCTGGAGGGGCCGGGAGCAAAGGACCCTGCTGGGGTGGGGGGGGCAGGACAGCTGCTGCCCCGGGCGGGCCAGGCTCGCGGGAGGGCGGGACGGCCGTGGCACCTCCCGCAAATGGACCCTGTGGGCTCAGGACCCACGCGAGCCGCAGCCCTGCACAGCCCCCCCTGCCGCGAATCCTCAATAAAGAATCCTCGGTCACCCGTCCTCCTTCTGCGTGGGGGGGGGGCCCCTGCCTCCTGGCGGCACCTTTGTCGGGGTTGCTTGGGGCCGACCCGTGCCTGGGCCTCCCTGGGGCTGCGGGTGGGGTGTGTGGGGCCCTGTCGCTGACCCCGGCCTGCAAGGAGCAGCCTCACACGCCTGCGGGGCCCACTCGTGACTTGAGTCGCAGACAGGCAGGCGCCAACATGCCCAAGGCACACGGCCCGGACTGCAGTCGGGGAGCTCGCGGCCACGCACAGGCGCACAGGCTGGCGCAGCGCTGGAGGTCTGGGGGCCCCAGGTGTCCAGCGAGGGCCCCCCCGGGCGCCGGGCCCTCCTGCTTCTCAGCTTGGCCCCCTCGGATCCACCGTCCCCTGTGCGCCCCCCCACTTGGGCTTTCTGCCCATGCCAGGCTCCCCCCGCTTGTCGCCTGCGGGGCTCTCACATCGGATCCCTTGACCACAGCGCAGCCGCCAGGTCCTCACGGGTCCGAAGGGCCCACGAAGCCCAGGGGGACACAGCGGCCCAGTGTGGCCCGAGTCCTCGTGCAGGGCCAGCGTCCCCCCCCCCCCCCCGTGTCGGCCAGGGCTGCTTGCTCTCCGACACCCACCCATCCCCCGCCTGTGCACTCGGCCACGGGGGAGAGGCCGAGGGAGGCTCTTCCCGAGAGCAGCGCCGTCCCGGCTGGCGTCCCCGGAGCAGACTTGGCGACCGGAGCGCAAGCGCAGGTGCCCCGGGGCCGGTCCCTTGTGCCCCCGTCCTATCCGGTCCCCGCAGTCCGGTCTTGCAGGTGCTCGCGGGCCTTGTGGAGGGGTCGCACATGGGCACGTTCCCGAGGGGCCGCTGCTCTCGCGGGGCACTGGCATCCGTTCGTAACCTCTGGGGTATTTGCAAGTGGGGGCTGTGATGAGGGTTGCGACGGCCGCCCGGGGAGGCCGCCGCGAGGGGAGGTGTGGGGTGGCGGGGACCACGAAAGCCTGTAACCCCCACCCCCTCGCCAGACGCACGAGCCCCAGTCGGCCCCATCCACACCCGCACCCGGGGGGTCTTCTCTTCCGGTGGGCGTGGAATCGTCCCCGACTCGGCTTTACCTTCCACTTCCCCGATGGCGAATCCTACAGAGCCTCCTCGGGTGCCCGCGGCTTTCGGGACTTGTCGGCTCCCGTGTCTTGCTCCTCTTGTGTGATTTTCATGTTTTTATTGTGAACTTACGGCCGTTACTTCACATCCCGGGGACTGCGGGTGAGCGACGGCCTCTCCCCTGCTCCCAGGTCCCCTCTCCGTCTCCGCCATCCCGGTTTCCAGAAAGCAGGTCCCTTCCACCCACGTGTCTGCTCTCATGATCTGCGCCATCGGTCACCTCTCAGGACACCTTCGATGACGATGACGTCCGGGTCCTGAGTGTATCTCCCTGTGTCTCCGTCTGGAGCCTCGACGGCATCGGCCGTTGTGTTGGGGTCCGGGGTGTGCGCTGCGTGCGTCTTGCGCGTGGGGTGCAGGAGGAGCCAGGTCCGTGCTCATCCCCAGGGTCCCAGGTTGTGAAGCAGACGTGCCCGTGCCCCCCGCCCGACGCGGCCTCTTGGCCCTCGGTCGCCCCTGCGGCCTGGCTCTCCCGGGCCCTGCGTGTGGGACAGCCTGCTGCTTGTCCCTTGTCCCGCGGAGTCAAGAATGAGTCTCCGGCGACAGGAAGTGAGCAAAGCGACGGAGGTTTGTCAAGCGGAGATACAGGGGGAGCTCCGGGAGGGAGAAGGGATCCCCCCGGGGTTGCGTCCGGGGGTGCTTGGGGTCCCTTTTGTAGGGACGGGGCAGGGAACTTGGTAAATGTCTGGTCAGGGTCGTGGGGTCGTGAGGATCCCGCTCTACTCAGAACAAACACGGGGACTCGCACCAACCGCGTTCCCTCTGCGCAGCCTGAGCACGAGCGAGCTGCTCCCGCCCTCGGGTTAGTCTCTCCTGCACAACATCCTCTGCGTCTGGGGCTCTGGGCCCCTGCGAGCGCTGAAGGGGGGGCTCCCGACGTCGCGGGGCTGGGGAGCCGCGTTTATTTCTCTCTGTTTCTGCTGCCTCCTGTCTGCTTCCTTGGGATCGGACGGAGCCTGAGCCCGGGCCTGTGCCTTCCCTCCCCGCCGTCCCCGGCCTCCCCGGCTCGCGCCTCCTCACCCTGACCGCAGCCTGTGCCGCAGCGTCCCGGCCAGTTTTACAAGCAAGTAGTGCCCGTCTTCCAATTCCGCCCTCCCTTTTTATTGATTTATTTAAAAGATTTTACTTATTTATTCATGAGACAGAGAGAGAGAGAGAGAGAGAGAGAGAGAGAGGCAGAGACACAGGCGGAGGGAGAAGCAGGCTGCATGCGGGGAGCCCGACGTGGGAAGCCCGACGCGGGACTCGATCCCAGGACCCCGGGCCGAAGGCGGTGCTAAACCGCTGAGCGCCCCCGCCAGGTGGCCCCCACCCTCCCTTTTTATTTAAAAAAAAAATTTTTTTTATTTATTTATGATAGTCACACACAGAGAGAGAGAGAGAGAGAGGCAGAGACACAGGCAGAGGGAGAAGCAGGCTCCATGCACCGGGAGCCCGACGTGGGACTCGATCCCGGGTCTCCAGGATCGCGCCCTGGGCCAAAGGCAGGCGCCAAACCGCTGCGCCACCCAGGGATCCCCCATGTAAGTTTAGAATCACCCTGTCTATCTCTTTAGAAATTTGACAGGAATGGCAGCAAATCTAAGCATCAAGGTTAATGGAAATCGTCAAAATGTAACTTCCTCCTCCTGAGCGTGGCCTGGGGAATTTTAAATCCTATCCAGCCGTGTTTCCAGTGCGGAGGACTTCCGTACCTCTCGTTACCTATTTCCTGGGTGGTTTTTTGTTTTTTTTTTTTTTTTTTTTTGCAGTTTTGACACTCCCGTAAATGGTATTTTAAAATCTTTATTTCCAATAGTTCATTCTTAACGTGTATACAAGGACACTTGACTCTCCCCCGATAACCCGTCCTCCAACCTCACCAAATTCACAAAGTTCAGTAGTTTCTTGGCGGATTCCTTCACGATTTTCTGTTAGGAGAGAGCAATTGGTCTATGAACATGACAGTCTTGCTTCCTTTGCAGTGTTCATGCCTTTTACTTGTTTTTCCTGCCTCGCCGCACAGGTGAGACCTACCCCACCACCACCCCGCCCCGTAACACTTGGCTCGTGACAGGCAGCTCGGGTCGTGTAGCCCCCTAGGGTCTTGTGCCAGGGGCTCGTTCTCCACCGGGGCCCAGACTCACGACAGACGCTGTGCTCGGAACGGAGGGCGGTTCTCCGCTCCAGAGGGCCCAGGCTTGCCCCAGAGCTTCAGCTTGCAGGCCACGGTTCCCAGGGATGCCCTGCAGCGCCCCGTTCCCCCAGGGGCACCCTTGTGTGAACCTGCTGCGCTCTGGCCGCACTCAGAACTGACAGCCTCTGAGGCCCCGACAGGCGGACGCGCCAAGCGAGGTGCATGCCATCTGCAAATCCAAGGAGGCCCGGCCAGCACTGCCCGGCTCATCGCGGCCGGGGCGGCAAGGGGTAAACGCTTCGGCTGTTCCTTAGAAGCCATGTCTCGGCTTGGTGTGCCCAGGCCACCGAGCCTCTCGAATCTTCAGCTGCGACACGGACCCTGAGACTAGCATTTATCGCCCACCCTCCGGGATAAAACTGTCTTACGAGGCATCCGAAGCGCTGGCCGGTCAACGCTCCTCAGGTCTTATTAGCATGATGTGGTCGGTATCGTGAGCGAGATGCTCTACGGGACCAGGCCAGGTGACGAGGGTCCAGGAGGCCTATGTCGTGACACCGAGCAGGGGGGGTCAACCCCTGCCTGGGACAACCTTGAGCGGACACTGAGGCCTCTTCCAGGCAAACACGAGTCGTTTGTAACGTCCCCTCCAGCGGGGCTGGGAAGGGAGCACTCCGCGGTCAGCTGCCACGCAGGGCCTTCCGCCGGGCTGCCCTGGTTCTGAGTCTGTAGCTCCCAGCGGAGCCGCTTGGCTCATCATGGTGTCATTCACCATGATGCAGGTGATTTTAGACATTTCACATTTATTTTATTTATTTATTTTTTTAAAGAGTTATTTATTTACTTATTTATGATAGACACACAGAGAGAAAGAGAGAGAGAGGCAGAGACACAGGCAGAGGGAGAAGCAGGCTCCACGCAGGGAGCCCGACATGGGACTCGATCCCGGGACTCCAGGATCACGCCCTGGGCCAAAGGCAGGTGCTAAACCGCTGAGCCACCCGGGATCCCCACATTTATTTTAGTTTTTAAAGACTTTCCTTTGGGGGGCAATTTCAGATACATGACAAAATGGAGAGGAAGGTGTAGCGGTTTCCCATAAACAACCGCTGCCCCTCGTTACACAGGCACCGACACCCCTCACCCGACGGTACGTGGGTTATTACGGATGAACCCACACAGACACATCATCACCATCATCGCCCAAAGCCCGGCATGCACACTACGGCTCACTCTTGGTGGTGTGCCCTCTACGGGTCTGGACAGGTGTGCAATGACTTGGACCCGTCCATCTGGTATCATACGGAGATTTTCACTGCCCTAAACATCCTCCGTGCTTCACCTGTTCATCCCTCCCCCCCTCCTCCCTGCTCACCCATGGCAACCGCTGATCTTTTCACTGTCTCCGTGGTGTTGCCTTTTCCAGAATGTCAGACTTGGAATCCTACAGGGTGCAGCCTCTCAAAACGACTTCTTTCACTTCGTCACAAGCATTTAAGTACCTCCACGTCTTTTCCTGGGTTGACAGCACATTTCTTTCTAGCACCGAGTAATATCCCGTTGTCTGGATGGACCAGGTTATTCATCCAGTCACCTACTGAAGGGCATCTTGCTGCTTCCAGGTTTGGGGGATTATTTATTAACACGGCGGCTGTAAATATTCATGTGCAGGGTTTTGTGCAAACATGAGTTTTCTTTTATCCTTTGGGTAAATACCAAGGAATGCCATGGCTGGATGGTG